CCGATTCCCAGAAGATTGAGAGTAGTTCCCCTGGAGAAAATGGCTGCTTTGGAAGGTGGGCTCTATGGCCGTGTATCCTGCTGAGGTCCCTCTCCTCCCCAAACACTGCCCTCCTCCGGGCTCCATCCCCAGATCTCCAGGGATTTCCCAACCGAGAACTGACAACCCTAGCTCAAATCCCAACCCAATCCATTTGCTGGTTCCCTACCTGGAAGGAGAGAAAAACTGCCCCCTATCTGTTGCCCATCTTTTCCCTTTCATGGCCGATAGCACTTCTGATAGCTGAAATGGTGTTTGAATGGAAGGGTTAACCCTCTTCTCCCCTCCACGCCTGGGCCAAAGTCATGCATGGCTGCACTTGACCCATTTGTGGCTCTCCCAGCTTCTCATCCTGCTTAAGCCTCACCCTCATGCAAAGTAACTCAGCCTAAGCCCTCTTCCTCCCCCACCCACCCCCGCTAACCAAAGCAGAAGGTTTTATTCTACTCGCTGAATGCTTTACTTGTTTGGTCTGCAAAGAGCTTATCCCGCACTGACTTAAAAACCAAGGGAGCATTTGTGCTGTTTGCTAGAGATGTACTTGGGGGAAAAAAACTACAATTGTCCTACAGTACGTTATCAGCAGTTCAGAATAGAGCCCACCCGCTGTGGTGCATGAGCAGATTGGCTGTTTGCTGCATGGTGCCTGAATAGGGTTTCCAGCTCTGGGTTGGGAAATTCTGGAGATTTTGAGGATGGCTCCTAGGGATGGCGGAGTAGGTGACCTCTAGGATCCCTTCTAACTCTGTGTCAAGAAACTGGTCTCCTTTAAGAGAGTTCATCTGCCTAAGGGTTAGCTTTCTTGACCATAGAAGTCATCACCCCCACTGGCCGGCTTGTTATCAGAATTGTCGCTTAGGCTGGGAGAAGTGATTAACTTGCAGGAGCTGAGAACTGTCATCTAAAGCAGTTGACAGCTTGCAATTTAGAGATCTATCCTGGGAACCGCTTTCTATTGGCTAAACGGCTTTTCTTTCTTCACTTTCTGCACCGAGAACTTCAGTCCCACCAGAAAAAAAATTGCCCCACAAGCCACAAAATCCTGGCCAGGGGCCCGAGGGACAGCAATTTACCAGGGACATGTAACAGAACATAGAAACTATCCTAGGTCAATAGAAAGTCAATTTGTATGCCAATGACCTTGATCTGACCTAATAAAAAGGTCCAAGCAGTGAGGAGATGCCTCAGTTGGAAAGCTGAGAGGGACTAACCGTTGGAGATCTCAAAGGGATGTGTCTATTCTTTTCCCTCAGTGCGCTTTGGTCCTGATCGCCATCAGGTCCTCACATACTCCTGTGGCCTAAGATCAACGGTGGGTGGGAAGGTTCTCCTCTTTTCACTGAAGTCCTCCCCTCATGACCCCTCAGTAATTGGTCTTAAGTTACTCAGGTGTGTTTCATTGATTTCAGTGGGGCTTGGCCAGAATTGGCTTTAGTAAGACAGGCTCCATTTTGATTGGCACAGCCGGCGCCATTCCATTTTTATTGAGAATCTAGCTGGTGTTGTCCTACACCTTTAGTATTGCTGCATTTCCTGGGGTGTTTTTTGGGTGGGGGATTAACTGTAATCCAAGCATCCTGTTTAATTTTGCTTTTGTTGCTTTAAACACATGCTGTATATATATATATATTTAAAAAATAGGTCTGTATAATTCTCAAGAGTTAGGATAGAATTGAATCTCAGTGAGAAAGGCAGGTTCTAAATAAAGTAAATAAAGAAATACAATTTTGTTTCCCCATAATGTCACTAGCCAAATTTTGCCTACGGGCATGTGGGATATGTAAATGGCTGATTGAGTCCCAGTAATTTTGCTTATCTGTTCCAGGACAGTATTACTTTCTTTGTTCACCCTTTTAATTTGCATTCATTGTTTTGTGTTTGTCGCATTGCATGTATCTTTCCTTTTATTATTTGCTGATTCTCAGAGCTGATCTTGTATCGAAATAAAGTTTTATTTGGATTTGGAATGCCACTTAAAATTTTTCCTATTTTTTCTAAAGGGGAAATATGTTCCTCTTCTAAAACCTTTATTTTTTGTGTGTGTTTCTATGAAGAGCAAGAGTAGGTTTTTATACCCCACTTTTCTCTACCCTCAGGAGCCTCAAAGGTGCTTACAGTTGCCTTCCCCTCCTCTCCCCACAACAGGCATTTGGGGAGGTAGGTGGGGCTGAGAGAGAGTTCTGAGAGAACTGTAACTGGCCCAAGGCCACCTGGCAAGCTTCATTTGGAAGAGTGGGGAGTCAAACCCAGTTCTCCAGATTAGAGGCCACTGCTCTTAACCACTACACCATGCTAGAATGAATGTCAAAGGGTTTATCTGAAGCCTGCTTCAGATGTGAAAGTTTTGTACTCTGGTAGGATAACCACTGCGGTGGCTCAAGTGGTTAAGACGCTGAACTGCAGGCTGTGGAAGGTCAGTAGTTCAGCAGTTCGAGACCTGGGTGCCGCATGACGGAGTGAGCTCCCGTCTCTAGTTCCAGCTCCTGCCAACCTAGCAGTTCGAAAGCAAGAAATTGCAAGTAGATAAATAGGTACCACTTCGGTGGGAAGGTAAAAGCGTTCCGTGCGCCTTGGTGTTTAGTCATGCCGGCCACATGAACACGGAAACGTCTTCGGACAGCGCTGGCTCTTCGGCTTTGAAACGGAGATGAGCACCGCAACCCTAGAGTTGGATTCAACTGGCTTTTGAGCAAGGGAACCATTACCTTTTACCTAGGATAATCAAAAGCAGGGCTTTTTCCTGGATGTGCCGGGATGGAGTTCCGGAACCTCTTTGGCATAATTCTTTTTAAAATGTTTAAAAGTTCAAGAGTTTTCAGTATACAGATTGAAAACTTCATTTCTCTCTTGAGAGTTCCGGCACCACTTAAAAAAAAAAAAAGAAGCCCTGATCAAAAGAATGCACATGTGCCATTTCAGATATTTAGTGCATGCAGAGTTTTTTCTAACATTTGTTCCTTTCACAATATGAGTGATGTTTGGAAGAGGAACCCTGCTTGCCTGCATTTGAAATGGGCATAGTGTTGAAAAACACAGCTGTGTGCACTTTTGTGTGCTTGGAAATGTGTGGTACGCTGGCACAATGCTGATCTTTGAAGAGGCTCGAAGAGCTAAGATGGGGCACTGGAGACGAAGGCAACAGCAAAGCCAAACCCTTTGACGGGCTGCTGAGAAGGAAGCATCCCAAGGTGGTGCAGTGTAGTACATCACTTCCAAATCCAGATGGGAGATAGAATTTTTGATTGTTTCTCCACTTAAGACATGTTCATTACAAAAAAACAAAAAACCCAGCGTCAAGAAGTGAGGCTCTTCCCAAACCTATACTAGACCTAGCCTAGTCCTAGCCAGCAGAGGGCACTGTGTATAATCCCAGGGTCCTCTTGACTAGAGATGTGGAGGCCCGGGGAAAAAAACCGGAAAAACTGAAGCCTTTTTGGTTTGTTTCCGAAAAATTGGAAAAATTGAAAAAAGAAAAGAAAAGAAAAAAATGATTATGGAGTGTTTTATTTTAATGTGATGAATAAAATATTTTAAGACAAGGTGTTCAAATATTTTCCAAATCATTTTTATATATATATATGGTATCAGATTGATCTAATTTCTGTGCACTGAGGACAATATATATATAAAAATCAGATTGATCTAATTTCTCTGCACTGAGGACAAGCAAGTCCTAGGTTACAAACTGAACTCTCCAATGCAAGAACAAGATGCATTTCTTCCTTTAGGAGGTGCGATTGTCAGAAGAAAATAAAAAGGTTTCAGTTTTATTTTGCACGTGGGTGGGTAATTCTGTTTGTAATAATTGTTTGGATACACTATGTTTTTAATATGCTAGTTGTGATAATTTCATGCCAAGTAAAAATGTCCATAGTCATATTTTATGTTCCTAAAGTAACAGAATGACTTTCAATCTAGAAAAAACAAAAGAAATGCTAATGTAGCATTTTTTTCAATTTTTCCGAAAATTTCTGTTTTTTCCTAAAAAAATACCCCGGAAAAAACCGGTTTTTTTTCCGAGCTTCAAAATTTCCGGAAATTTTACATCTCTACTCTTGACCCTGCTCCCTTCTGTCTGAGGAACGTGAGGTGGCAACCTCGGCCAATTTCTCCTTGCTTATGAAGGGTCTAGCCTGCCTTAGTGTTAGTCCCTTCACTGGCTCCATCCCTCTGGGTCTTCTGCTAGATCTCATCAGTTCCTATGGGGAGCTGCTGCCTACCCCCCACCCCCACCTAGAACAGCTGTGGCTCTCCCCTCACTTCCAAATATGGGCTTCCCCCTCCTGATCACCAGGCAGTCGGCCACTAAAGGGCCAGTTGTCATCGCCAGCCAGCTGGTCAGAAAGTGTCCTTCATATTGGTGAACTGGCGAGCAGTCTGAGGATAGCTTCTCAAATCCCCTTGAAGTCGGGAAGTCCTGGGGTCCCTCAGTTCCACACCAGACAATGTGCTGGTTTCTACTCGTAGAGACTTCTTTGTAAAACAAACAAACAAATATGGGAAACATGCAAAAATGTAATACCCCGCTTGCATTGCAAAGTAGCACAGTCCGCAGAACTACCTAATTCTTGCACCTTCATGATGCATGGGTAGCCCATGTTCACAGTGGACTATCTGTATACCAGAGTAGCTGGTTTGGAGCCATAGTTTCTGTATTGCACTGTGCTTCAAAAACTGCCAGTCCATTTTTCTGTTGTCTTGTTTTGTTCACCTTTAAGGGATATTCTCTGTAAAGGAAGTCAAATCCAGACTGCTACGGTTTCGTTGTCCGTAGGTTACCTTTTATTGAACCATAGGCTTTTGTTACAGGAGAATGGAAGATTTGAGTTCTTCAAAGATCTGCTGATTCTCAGTAATTTAAAGGGAGGGGGGATGCTACCTGCCACTCACTGCTTTTCTCCCCCTTTTGTCTTTAAATTCTTGCCTCTTCACCCTCTGCCTTTTGACCTTCTTATGCGCAGAGTGTAATAAAAGGTGGTGCGCTCTGGAAAGTGGCTTTTTGAGCTATTACGAAAACGAGAAGACTACTTCCCCAAACGGGATGATTGACATCAGTGAAGTCATCTGTCTTGTAATTCATAAGGTTGACTCCTTTTTACATGCAGGGTAAGTTCTGGTTCATCTTTTTTTAAAAAACAAACAAACAAACACAACAAAACCTCTCACTAGAAATGTCTTCCTCCAAATGCGGTCATTTTGGGGACTCTGGGAGTTCTTAGCACCACAAAAAGTGCCACCTCTTGGAAACATTAAAAAATAAGATGGATGGATCAAGTACTCTGTGCGGTTTTTACACTAGTGACACCCATATAAAGGGGGTCAGAGACTGCAAAATGGAGTAGTGGGCGAATGCCATTTCTTTTTCTCTTCTGTTGCCTGCATAATTCCTAATGGCTGTCTTCTCTGTCCTGCGGTGTAATGAATGGGATGTCAATAGGGGAAAAGTTTTTTCGGAACTGGTCACTTGACACTGCTCTAGGTGGGAAGCTAACGCACAGGTTTCAAATGGCACAGGGCAGGCCCGTAGCTACAGCCGGGTATCTCAGGGCTAGCCCCCCCCCCCGACTTGCTGGCAAGGCCCCCTGACTTCCCGTCCAGCCCAGGGGGTCACAGCCTTCTCCCCTGGACTAATTTGATTAGCCAGCGCCCCCTAAGACATTTAAATGCCCCCTGACTTTAAAAAATCCTGGATACAGGCCTGGCACAGGGTGAGCTATCTGGATAGACGATTAAAGTGTATTGCAATTGAAATGGCCAAGGCTGGGATTACTGCACAACAGGTTGAAGAGTAGGTTTTAAGCAGGAGGTTTGAGTATGACGGTGACGGACATCGGATAGCCATCCTGAAATTTGTCTTCTCTCCCAGTCATTTTTTAAAAAATCAACATTGCTGGGTACCGTAGTGCAACACCTGTGCAACATGTGTGAATTGTAAAATACATATTGGCAATGTGTGTGTACATTTTAGAGGTGTCTGCCATGGAGATGGGGATAGCTTTTGGGTCTTTGGTTAAAGACTCTATACATGCTCTTAAATCTCAGTTACAAGCCTAAAGCATGAAGGGTGATTCGGGTGCACCTATATGTGATAGCACCTCTAAGTTGTGCCTTGTTCCCGTGTCTGTTGGTCACAGTAATGCCGTTTGTTTGGTATACAAAGCATAGACGGTGCCATATTGTGAGATCCATCACGTCTTCCATTCCAGTTCTGCATTTGAGAGTAGGGAGTTGGAGTGGAGGGCTGGCTACATGCCGTGGGGGAGGTAAAGGTACCAGATTTTCCATTCAGAATTAAAGATACCAAGTGTGGCCCAGTATTAAACTTGACTCAGTCCACATTGGCTTAGAGGCTTCGATTGCTCTCTTTGTTAACATTCAGATAGGCAAATAGGGTAAACGTGAGCTCTACCAATGAACTATCCATTGTATCTCCACATCTGGTATAATCTTATGTCTTCATATTAATGTATCCGGCCTCTTGTCTCTTCCTCCCCTTCCATCTCCCCGTTCATCAGTTCGACTGTCATGATGTTCAAATGTATATGTAAGTTGGAGTTGTTTAACTTAAAAGTTAAACTGTTTAGCAGATGCAGCTTATGTAACCTGTATCCCCCCACCACACACGCAAAAAAAAAACCACCGTCAAAACCCACACTGATCAAAATAGGAATGAAATGCAGGGAGATCTGAGCAGTATTGTTACTTCGCTGTTAGAAAGCTTGTCCTAAATAAAACTGACTCTTCTTGTCCTTGGTGGTTTTAGAGCTATATTTACCTTTGAAATCTACTTACTGTCAGAACGTGTTTTTCTGTTTGGTGCTGAAGCTGCAGATTCTCAAAGAAAATGGACCCAGGCGATTGCCAAGGTAGTGTTGATATATATATATATTTTCTGTTCAAGTTAAGCCGGGAGCCTTTGCGTTAGCTGAAAAGTAGCACTGTTATCTTAGGATCTGGAGTGAAATAAATTTTAATTCAATGGGATTAGTGAATTGGAAGTTTGGGTGGGTACATACGGGCATGACCAGAAAGCATCCGGTTGCAGTGAATTTGTAATGCAACGACGCAATGAACCAAAGATTTTTTAAAAAAATGGTTTCGTGAAAATAACTTCATTGTTTACAGAGCATTATGGTCTCCCTTATATGGATAGACTTCTCATGGTGAAGGACATGATCCGACACCTGGGTACGCAGAATCATGCCTTTCTACATTTGTTGACTTTAAGGAGGACTCAGAAAGCCGTGACCAGGATAGCCCAGGCAAGCCTGATCTCTTCAGATCTCGGAAGCTAAGCAGGGTCTACTCTGGCAAGTACTTGGATGGGGAGACCTCCTTGGAATACCAGCAGTTGGGAGGTTCTTGAGCGGGGGGTGGCGACACAGCTTTAGGCTGCCTTGGATGAGATTATTTTTATTTTAATCTAAATTCATGCTAGGTTTGGGGAATGAAATGGCCTCGAGATGGCCTGGCTAATGATCTTTGCTGTGAGAATGACTGGGTTTCTCAACAGCTTTCTGTGCTGTTCCTACTTGTCTTTAGTTCCCCACCCCAGAAACTTGTGCTGATGGAATTCTGCTCAGCCCACCAGCCTCTATGCTATAAGGTGGGGCTGTTTTTACAGCTGCATGAAACCCCTGGAATAGAGTGTCTAGAGATCTGGAGTAAGGTGTCATCAGTACACCAATGGCGTCCATCTCTATTTCTCCTTAACAGCCAAATCTGGTGCTAGAAGAAGGCTATAGGATGGAGGAGGGCCAGTAAACTGAAGACTGACCAGACCAAATTGAGCTGCCATTGGTCATTGATAAAACTGCCAAGGAATGAGGAGTTAGACTGTTCAGGAGGGGGTTCTAGTTCCCCTGAAAGAGGAGATCCATAGAATCTGCTGCCCTTCTATTTATATATTTTATTTATTATTACATTTCTATCCCGCCCTCCCCCGCGAATGGGCAGCAGATAAAACATATAAAAACAAGATAAAAGAATCCATATTACAATTAAAGTGCTCAAAACATATCAATCCTTCAGTCAAATAAAGATGGCGTACTGTAGAAGTAACACTAGATCCCGATCTCCCGCATTGCTGTGGCTCGATCGCCATACAGGGCCATCTACTGCCCCGATGTTACTGACAGTAATAGTTGGTGGTAGTGGTGGGCAGCTCCTAGTTAAAAGCCTGGTGGAAGAGCTCTGTCTTGCAGGCCCTGCGGAACTGTACAAGGAGCTCATCCCACCAGGTAGGAGTCGCCACCGAAAAGGCCCTGAACCTGGTTGTGGCGAGCCTGGCCTCCTTGGGGCCCGGAATCACTAGACGATGTTGTGCCCCTGACCGTAGTGCTCTCTGGGGTATGTGTGGGGATTAGATTACCGCCCTTGAAGCCTGATTGGAAGCTTAAGTTAATACACAATGCTGTTGTAGAGGGATTGGGTTTAGCAAGCCTGTCATTCTGTTATGAAAGGTCTCCGCTGCCTGCCTGATGGTTTCTGGACACAGTTCCAGCTGCTGTTTCTTACCTTTTAAAGCCGTAAATGTTTTAGGGCTGAAAGGACCACTGTTTCCGGCCTAGAGCAACCCACCAGCTAAGCCCTGCTCTGTGTGTCCACTCCCATGGAAATGGGTCCGGAGGCAGCCCAAGGCCAGGACTTTCTATTGGTGGTGCTCCACAGGTGCCCACACTCTTTTTTTTCTGCTGGCTGCTCTTCTGTTAAGAACATAAGCGAAGCCATGTTGGATCAGGCCAGTGGCCCATCCAGTCCTACACTTTGTGTCACACAGTGGCCATGATTTGATTTGTTATTCATTGTTTTGCATTCCCTCGCATTGTGAGGCCACCTTGGACAGCTGTATTGTGTAGAGGCAGCGCAGAAATGTGCTAACTAAAATAAATATTAATGCAGCTGTGTATTTGAAAACACTGGCAGAACACTTTATAGAAGGAATGGCCGTAATGTTATCTTCAGTGGTTTGCAAACAGCTGTGCGTTTTGCTTAATTCAGTGCTGATGTTCCTACGTGACGGCTCTCCTTTGGACAGACATATGGAACCCTTGGGGGGGGGCTGTGTGTCGTTGGTCTCTTTCACCAACAACCTCTTGCACCTCTACTTCTTTCCCTGTTTCGCTGTTCTGTCCTTTGAAGCCCAGTATGCTTTTGCAGTACTACGCTGAGGTGACCAGTAAATCCCTGTTGTTGGGAATTTACACCAAACGCGTTCGGCCAGCAAATATTCTGTTCTTGACCGTCTCAATCAGATGTGAGCTGAGCCTCAGAGACCTGCACGTTGCCGCGGTCCCACTCGAGCATGTGACGAGTAGCTTTGCGGCTGCACAGTAGCCGTGATTGCTAACCTGAGTTTCTTTATGGTTTGTCGCTGCCTTTGGTGGCGGGGCAGTGGGCAGTTATTCGCACATTCTTTTCTCTTTTTTTTGCCATCAAGTTGCAGCTGACTTATGGTGACCCCTGGTGGAGATTTCTAGGCAAGAGATGTACAGAGGTGGTTCGCCATTGCAGAGCGACCCTGGTATTCTCCCATCCAAATACTGACCAGGGCCAACTCTGCTTAGCTCCAGAGATCTGGAAAGATCAGGCTAGCACATCCCTACTGGTAACTGGGCATTGAGAATTTCTGTAAAGAGGCGGGGGGCAGGGGGAGAATCCAATCTGAACTGTACAGCAGAATACCAAACATTAAATCAAAATTACAATGTTTTCTTTCTTGTATTCTCTGTGTGTGTGCGTGCGTGCGCGTACACACTTTATTTTTCTGCTTTCCCCCCTTTCGAATAGCACTTTGTATCCGACATGGCCAGACCTCTGCTGGGCCGGGATTATGATGTTATTGGCCAGCTGTATTACAAAGACTGTCATGACCTCGACAACTGGAAAAAAGGCTGGTTTGCAATAGAGAAGTCTAATCTGCATTTCTGTCTAGACCTGGAAGATGCTCAAGAGGATTTGATACATCTGAGGAGGCTCCAGGAGTTAAGTAAGACTTTAAAAAAATTGTTTTAGAGGTGTTTTCTAGGAATTGGGTCTACTTAAAATGCTTCCAACAGCACATGAAGTGCTCTGGGTGAATGAGAGGATGACAAGTGGTTTCCTCCCATCGACGGAGGGTCAGTTCAACTGTTGCTGCAGAGGCATGGTAGTCCCTCCCCTGGGGCTCATTCCAGCCCTTTTCCAGTCATGTGGACAAAGGAATCACATCAGCCAGGTGAATGACGTGGCAAATTCCTTCTTGTACAATGTGGCTTTTCCCCCTAGCTGCTCGCATGGCTCTTTTTGTATCAGGAACTCCTTTGCATATTAGGCCACACACCCCTAATGTAGCCAATCCTCCAAGAGCTTACAGAGCTCTTCTTACAGGAGCTACTGTAAGCTCTTGGAGGATTGGCTACATTAGGGGTGTGTCGCTTAATATGCAAATGAGTACCTGCTACAAAAAGAGCCCGGGCGGCTAGGCAACACTTGTGTAGGAAGGAACCACATCATTTGCCCTTTTTCTGTGGCTTGAATAGGCACATGTTGTCGAGGTGGTTTGTGTGTCTTTCTAGTTGGAAACACTTTTGTTGTTCCGTCATGAGTGAAGACGTATTTTTGTAACAACAATGGTTATCTTTTGTGGCAGAACAAATTGGACTGTAATGTTTTAACAAAACGCTTCTGGAAGAGTGTTTCAATGCTTGAATTCGTATCTGGGCGATTTGTGTTAAGCAATTCAAGTCACTGCTTGGTTCTCGGGTTGTCATTGTGAGAACTCGAGACTTACGAGACCATTGTACACACAGAAGCAAAGTGTGGACATGTGTGGGTTTAACCCACTCCTCACATTAACACTTCTGCTCTCACCGCTTGAGAAGTACTAGGTGATGGGACACTGTTCCAGCTGCATGAGGGTTGGGCATATTACATGCAAGGCCCACAGGTCGAATCTCTCTCTAGGTAGAATCTGTATGGAGACCATTAGGTCTATATTCTGTTGAAGTCATGACCATGTGTTGGAGTAAGCAGTGACTGGTGTACAAAAAGAAGAGGAGAAGACCCTGCAGGGGTCAGCAAGAGAAAAGGCCGGTTAGATAGGATAGTGAGGTCAGCACCTTCTTTCCTGATAAGCGTTGTTCCTTGTCTGTCTCCAGATTGGTATTCTTAGAGCAATATCTTACTTCTTCTTAGAAGTTCCACAGCTCTCTCATTCTGTCTCAACTAGTGATATGGCTAGAAGCCTGTCTCTATTTCTACTCTTCACTATCAAATATGTTAATTCCTGAATAAAGCTACACTTTGATCAGTTTGTGCACCTCTGCTGTGTTGATCACTCAGCCGACACCATGGTTATGTAGCTTCAATAGAATCAAGGTCCATGGAGACTGGCATAGGGAAGGGTAGTCTGGCCTTGGTCCCAAGACAAGGACCAGACAGGAATAACAAGAATTCTAATGGACAGGCAAGTGGCACACCTGGCACTGGGTGGGTTGGCGGGCCTGACTCCTTAAGTCAAGGGCCCCCAACCTTTTTGAGCCTGTGGAGCAGGGGTCATTTGAGGCTGGAACGAGCCGGAACAGTGTTCCGGCAGCCCAGGAGCGGGCACATATGGTGGCGGCAAGCCCCGCCCCCAGCTCCCAGCAGGCTGGCGGGGGAAGCAAGAGAGAAGAGTTTTAAAGTTTAAATCCCTTCTTTCTGGAGTCGCACCGCTACAGCGGCATGATCTCCCATTATATCCTATGGCCCCATAGAATACAATGGAAAGATCGTGCTGGGGAAGCAAATGAGAGGTATTTAAAGATGTCTCCCCTTCTTTTTTTTTATAAAAACTAGTCTTTAAAAATGCAGTCTTTTGGGTTTTGCAGGGAGCACTTTATTTTTTGTCTGATGTATGCTATTTTAAAGTGTTGGCTTTTGAGGGGAACTAATCTTTTTAAGGGAGCTGCGGTGGCTCGTGGTTAAGACGCTGAACTGCAGGCTGTGGAAGGTCGGTAGTTCAGCAGTTCGAGACCGGGATGCCGCATGACGGAGTGAGCGCCCGTCTCTAGTTCCAGCTCCTGCCAACCTAGCAGTTCGAAAGCAAGAAATTGCAAGTAGATAAATAGGGACCACTTCAGTGGGAAGGTAACAGCTTTCCGTGCGCCTTGGAGTTTAGTCATGCCGGCCACATGACCACGGAAACGTCTTCGGACAGCGCTGGCTCTTCAGCTTTGAAATGGAGATGAGCACCGCAACCCTAGACTCGAATTCGACTGACTTTCGAGCAAGGGAATCTTTACCTTTACCTTTTAATCTTTTTAAAAGTATTAGGGCAGTCAGAGCTTATTTAATGATGCATAAGAAAGACAAACTTTCATTGGATGCATTTTAGTGAAATGTGTGAGGGGGTGTGGCATATGCAAATAAGGGTGTGGCATATGCAAATAAGTTATGCTAATGAGTTATGCTAATGAGCTCCTGCACCTCTTTTTCTATAAAATGACCCCTGCTGTGGACACATTTTGAATTCTGACATGGCTCGGTGTGTTCAGCAACAAAATGGCTGCCTCAAAATGGCTGCCGCAGGAGGTGGAGGCAGCTGCAAAGTGATTGCCACAGCTTAACTTCAGTAATACAGTGCAGATCCTTGTGCTGTGGTAGCAGCTGCTGCCAAAGCAACATTTAAACAAAAATTCTGAACAACCAATCAAATCTCCAGTAGCCAATCAGAAGCCTTGTTGGGCTGGCCCCTCCCACTTAAAAACATTTGATGGACATGAGAAAAGATGTCAGCAGGTGCCGTGGCAACCGCGGGTACCTCGTCGTGGACCCCAGCCTTACGGAGCTCATCTCCCCTTAGTCCTGCTTGGTTTGGATTTCCTGAGGCTTCATACTGAGTAAGAATATGCCGAGGGTGTCTTGCGAAAGTGCAGGGAACTCTGGGCTTTCTTGGTAGACGTGGCCCTATGCCTCACTGTGTTTGCCTCTCTTTCTGAATTCCTTGGGCAGTTCTTGGGCTCTCTTAGACATCTGGTAATCAGGCTGCATCCAAGAATTAAAATACAGACAATGCCCAGCTGATCTGATGCTAGCCTCATCACGGGGATGGGGATGCAGGAGACAATGCCTGGTTGATTGATTCTCCTGTAGCCGTTGGGAGGTTGGACCTGAAGGCTCTTAAGCTGTAATTCCAGACACATCATCAAGGCACAGGGAATGCAAAAGAATTTGAAATCAGTAACTGAACCGCATTTCTGTTTTCAGGTGGGCTCTGTAAAAATAACTTTTTTCATTGGTCAATTTGTTACCATTTTTCAGTGAAGTAGAATGGAAATGTCTCTTCTTAAAAGTCATCATTTCTCCCTTTTCCCAATCTTGATTATCCTCCCAGAAGCAATTCCAGCAGCCCAAATGCTATACATGGGCAGATCAGCCAATGCTCCCTCTAAGCTGTAGGGTCTTGTGAGCAAAAATTCTACTTTGTGAGCTCCTGTCATTCAAGTTGTGAGTGAGCAATTTGGCTGCTGCATAAATTAGTTTGCTCTGGAGCCATCCTTTCCGAGCTAAGACAAAAATGTGTGAGTTGGAGACTAAAAAACTGTGAGCTAGCTCACACTAACTCAGCTTAGAGGGAACACTAAGATCAACTGCCCACCATGTGTTTTGCTTCTTAAAGAGCAGGGGCACAAGGCCCATTTAAGGCAGATTTATTCACTGCCTAAAAGCCAAATTATCTTTGGTGACTTTGCCCTCAAGCGTCTTTAATAGGAAACATATTAATTGCCTTACTTATCTTCCTTATGGCTCTTACGGAAGGGCTGCCTATTTCATCTTTACTAGTTGCTGGCTTCCATTTGATTCTCACCCAGAGACTAATGGTTATTAAAACCACACGTGTCCAGCGTCTGCTGTGCTGCAGTATAACTTTGAGTGGACTTATTAGGCTTTGCAAACGCTAGATGTCTATTTAAGCTTCATTAGGCAGTTGCAAATATGTTGTTGTTTTTTACCCCTTCATTTTTTCCCCCCTCAGCAATCAGCAGCATTATTCAAAATGGAGAAAAAATAGATGTTCTGCTTCTGGTGGAGAAAGGGAGGTAAGAGAAAATGGTGGTGGCTGGATATGTTTTTCAATGAATGGCAAATTAAACTAAAATCAATCCATTGACGAGATGTGTGCTGAACATTCTAAAATTTTTGAGGGGAAAGTGTGCTGCTGCTTCCTCTTCTTGGTTAAGAATGGCGGGCTCTAATCTGGAGGACTGGGCTTGATTCCCCACTCCTCCACATGAGCCCTGCTGGGTGACCTTGGGCCAGTCCCAGTTCTCTCAGAACTCTCTGAGTCCCCCACCTACCTCACAAGGTGCCTGTTGTGGGGGGAGGAAGGGAAAGGCGACTGTAAGCCACTTTGAGACTCCTTAGGGTAGAGAAAAGCAGGGCGTAAAAACTTACTCTTCTTCTTTCTTGCCAATGAGATCGACGAGGGAAGTAATTTCAGAGCTTTCATTCTCCCCCCCCCCCCAACAGTTTTGATCGACACCTGTAAAGAACAAACAACCCAATCCATAGCTGATTTCCATTTGTATTTTCTGGTGTCAGTGACTACCTGCTTCCTGCCCAACCTGGCAGGTACGTTCTGGAACCTTGAAGTGGGAGAAGGGAGAGGAATGTTTCAACTTCTGAGCTTGCATGGAAAGTAGACTTACCGAGTTGCCCGCTGCGTGTTTGTGGGGGGGCCAACCTCCCACCCCTGTGCTCCTTCCCCTACCCTTGCTCAGTAGAATAGCAGAGCCAAAATGGTGAGGGGAGGGACAGCGTCACATAACGAGTACCTGGAAGTGATACCACAGTTTCACAACGCCATTTCCCCAGTCTTTGCTCACCAAAGGATCCTGCCCCCAACTGCTGCCATCTGGTAACCCTAGTGGAAAGTTGGATTTCAGTTTATGATTTTCCAAGTCTGTCGCCATAACTGATCCTTGTCCTCAGCCTCCCCTTAAGTGGGTGTAAGAACATAAGAACGGCCCTCAATAGTCCATCTAGTCCAGCATCCTGTCTCACACAGTAGCCAACCAGTTCATCTGGATGGCCAACAACAGGGCAGAGAGGCCGAGGCCTTCCCCTGATGTTGCCTCCTCGCTCTGGGATTCAGAGGCTTAGTTCCTGTGAATGGGGAGGTTCCCCTCAGCAATTGATAGAATTACCCTCCATGAATCTATCTAACTCCCTTTTAAAGCGGTTTATTCCTGAGGCCATCACTATATCTCCTGGCAGCAGATTCCACATTTCGATCTCTCTCTATGTAAAGTTAGTATTTCCTCTTACTTCGAATTAAAGCTGCTCTGGACCCATTCAAAATTCCTGTGATGGTTGTACCCATCTAGTGTTGATTTTTAGGTGTGAGAGGTCTGGTGCCCTCATGGAACTTCTCCCTGTTTATAGCAGATTCAGGTGACTGGAGGGGAGAAGCTACAGATGCGGCAGTTGTAACCTACCTTGTTTTCCTTTTGGAGAATGGTGGGATAAAACACTTGTACATAAACAAATAAGTGTTCTGTTTGCCTTTGGAGAGCGCACAGTTATTGATCAGGGTTGTTGGCAGGGCTATTTTTGGGCAGGAACACACAGGAACGGAGTTCCGGCTGGCTCCCAAGTTGGCCATGCCCAGCAGGAACTCATTAGCATAATAGGCCACACCCAACAGCAGAAACTCATTAGGATTGGCTATATTAGGGGTGTGTGGCCTAACATGCAAAGGGGTTCCTGCTACAAAAAAAGGCCCTGGGTTTTGAGAACAAACAAGGTAAACAGAATAAGAAGCAAAAGGTGGGTGTGGCTGGATGACCTAACTTCTGGTAACATGGGGGTCTGGCCTAATATGTTCATAAGCTGTGTTGTCGGGTGTGTGGCCTAATATGTTAATGAGTTTCTGCTGTTGGGTGTGGCCAACAAAGCCCTGGTTGTTGGCTTTAGGTGGGATTCAATTTAACTATTTCCTATTTAGTATTTATATGAAATAATCCATGTGTGTGGCACATTGCAGGGTGGCATGAACGGCAGGAAAGGGTGGCCAAGGTGTTTGCAGTCTAAATACTGGGAATGCAGAAGGGCGGAAAGGCAGCAGAAGGACAGGGAAGGCATCCGTGCTTAATGTGGTTAGCTGGTCAAGGTGTTTGCGAGACCCAGCTGTATAAATATGTCTCAGTAAAGATTGGGGAAAGAATTAAGCAAGTTATATTCCCAACTTTTTTTTTTGAAAGGAAAAAAAAGGCAAGTGTTTTATTATTTATTTTGTTATTATTTATTTGTTTGTTTCCATTCCTATTCCACCCTTCCCGCAATCAGGCTCAGGGCGGATCACAAAATAGATCAAGGCATCATAAAAGTACAGTACATTACCAAAGGTAAAACAAAACAATATAAAACAACATATTGTCAGGACCCACAGCGACAATGGAAGCACACACTTTCAGGAAAGGTTTTACTTTATTGAAGCTGGAGATGCATGGACAGGAACACTGTTAGGAATGAGGGGTGAACTATGCGCAAAACAGTTATAGTACATTCATATGAGCATCATCCAATTACTACGGTTCCCGCGCGCGCCCTTAGGCCTGGGAACTAACTGCTACCCAAAGCAAAACAGGTACGAGCTTCCCACGGCTCTGCCTGTCTAAAGCCAAAGCAATGATCTAAGCGGCTCCTCCAGCAGCCTTGAGAGATACGCAGTGCAGTTTGCAAGTGAACTACAATTAGCAATAGGGAAAGGTATGCGCATCTGTGAAGATAGATGTATGCACATCTGAAAATGAAAATAACATTTTGGCAGCTTGCTGACACATATATTAAAACAAGTCACACTGTTGGTCTGCAGATTTCAAGCTGGCGCCATCTTTCATCTTCTTAATCTGGGCAACAAAAGATGGTAAACTTCAGCAGAGGGGAGAAGTGAGATTTCATTGGATGCCCGCCACCTCAACCAAAGGCCTGGCGGAGCATATGAAATCGCCATACACAAAAATCAAGCCATTGGTTCAACCAGCTGACTGTCAGCTGCTCTGACCTGGACTAACCCTCCCAAGTCTCAAGCAGGGATCCTTGCTAGCTCTGTTTCCTGAGATCCTTTGACTGCTCGTCTCGGGGACTGAACCTGAGGGAACTTTTATATGCAAAACTGGTGTTCTACCAGTGAGTTATGGCTCTTTGCATCAACATACGCATAGAAAATCCTGAGTGAGAACATTCCTCGGTACTGACCCCATTAGTCCTTCTAGCCCACCATGTTGTGTTCTGTCTAACAAAAACCAGGGAGGTGGTTGTGGCCGCTTTTGAAGCAACCAAGGCAAGAGAAGTTCTAAAACACTGTCCTGAAGGAAGGTGTTCAGACAGAGTATGTTAAGACTGGGATTGTGTCCAGTTCAGTAATTTCTTGTAGAGTTCTTTGCCTAGCAAAAGCCACCTTCTCCCTGCTGTGTAATCAGCTTAATTCTTAGGAGAGTAGTAAAAAATCTTGGTTTCACTTATTTATTTTGCTTGAACAGAGATGACTGTCGTGATGAGCTAGGCATCCTACCTAGTGTATATAATGCCTGAAAGATGTATCGGCCATGGGTTGTTGCTTCAGTTTACTTTGAGGGAAAGGTTGCCAACGGAACAATCCTATGTAGAATTAAACAGGTCACAGTGGATTTAAATGATATAATTTAGATTACTGTAATGCATTCTATGTTGTCCAAAAACTTCAGATGGTTCAAAATGTGGTGGCCAGGATATTGTCAGGGGTTGATTACAGGGATCAGATCACCCCTTTGCTGAAAGATCTGCATTGACTACCCATCTATTTCTGGGCACAATTCAAAGTGCGGTTTCTTACCTTTAAGGCCCTAAATGGGTTGGGGTCATGATTCCATAAGCAGCACTACACCAGTTTGATGTAGTGGTTAAGTCTGCAGACTCTAATCTGGGAGAACCGGGTTTGATTCCCCACTCCTCCACATGCACCTGCTGATGTGCCCTTGGGCCAGTCTCAAGCTCTGGCACAGCTGTTCCTGAAAGAGCAGTTTGTGTCAGAGTTCTCTCAGCCCCACCCACCTCACAGGGTGTCTGTTGTGGGGAGGGGAAGGGAAAGGCGATTGTAAGCTGCTCTGAGACTCCTTTGGCAAGTGAAGGGTGGTATATAAATCCAATCTCTTCTTCTTCTTCTCTGTGCTCCCCCACCTTCAGATGTGAGGTAGGGGGTGACCAGAGAGCAGGCATTTTCAGTAGAGGCTCTAGAGAATCTCAGTGCCAGGCTAGGCCAAAATACATACTTTTTACACAGGCTTTTAATTAGGTGTTTTCTCTTACCAGCTTTTTAATCACCTGCTTCTGTTTCATGGGTAGTTTTTTAGTGCTGTTTTATGTCCAGTGCCTTGTTTCGAATGGCTTTTGCGTTTTACTTGTAAGTCATCTTGAACAGGATGTTGGAAGAGGTAGCACAGAAATATCCTAAATAAATAACTCTTCTTGGGGTTGCACTGCAAATTTTCTCCAACCATTAAGAGCCTCCACCTCTCAGCATTTCTGTGGGCAAACCGGATGAGCAATTTAAATCCTTTTTGTACATACAGGTCTCTTTTTTTGGGTGGTGGTGGTAAATCACCAGTATTCCCTGCATAAGTACCGGTGTCTTGGCCAGAAAAGGGAATTTCACCGGAAATTTTACCTGGCATTCTGTTTCTAGAGCAGGGTTGGCCACATGCAGCTCTTTCACACATATTGTGTGGCTCCCGGCAGGGTGGCTAGGGAAGGGGAGGGGAGGCAGGCCTCCCCGATTGGTCTTCCCTTCCCCAGCCAGTGTTCCCCTCCCAGGGTAGGCTCGAGGTAGGGTGTGTGTGCGGAGAAAGAAAGCAACTTGAACTTTAAATGCGTTCTCAAAGCCCTCCCCTCAAGCCTACAAGTATTATCAATATATGTTTTACCCTCTTTTGTTTTTGTCAGTCTCATTTAATGTTCATAAACATATTTTCCAGTAAAAACATGTGTGTAATATTAATGTCTTGCGGCTCTCAAACACCTGACATAAGAACATAAGAGAAACCAATGTTGGATCAGGCCAATGGCCCATCTAGCCCAACACTCTGTCACACAGTGGCCAAAAATACCAGGTGCCATCAAGAGGTCCAGCAGTGGGGCCAGGACACTAGACGCCCTCCCACTGTTGCCCTCCCCAAGCACCAAGAATACAGAGCATCACTTGCCCCAGACTGAGAGTTCCTGTCTATACCTTGTGGCCGATAGCCATTGATGGACCTCTGCTCCATATACTTATCTAATTCCCTCGTGAAGCCGCCCATGCTTGTAGCCGCCACCACCTCCCGTGGCAGTGAATCCCATGTGTTAATCACTCTTTGGGTGAAGAAGGACTTCCTTTTATCTGTTCTAACCCGACTGCTCAGCAATTTCCTTGAGTGCCCATGAGTTCTTGTATTGTGAGAAAGGGACATTTATTCTATGTGGCTCTTACGTTAAGCAAGTTTGGCCACTCTTATTCTAGAGAGTCCTGGGTTTTTGCAAAGAGTCACTCAAGGTGCCAGTTCAGCTTCTGCACATAATGTCAACCCATGAGATAAATTGTATCCCCCCTCCCCCGAACATTGCAAAAAAGCACCATGTATACATTGGTCTTTGAAGAAAGGTTCAGTGCATCCTATTGGAAAGTCACAAAGAGGCTGTTCCGATGCTTCAGTAACATTCTGAATTCACCATCACAACGTGTTTGCAGAAATATATATTATCTGGCTTCAGTGGCTGCCTCTGGAGTTGGAATATATTGCTTCTGCAAAGCTTTCCCTCTCCTTCTGTCCGGTGAGTGGCTAGCCTGCCTGCTTTCCATACAGTGCAACGGCTCGTTGTTCACTGAGCTGTAAGCTTTTCTCAAACGATGACAGTTCGGTAGTTCCGAAAGGGTAATGTTTGAGTTCTTTTTTTCCCCCTTTTTTTGAGAAGCGATAGCCTGAAATGGAACCTGTAGCTTGTTTTTCCTCTGCTTCTACCAAAATGATGTACCTTTGAATAGGTGCCAGAACACACAGATCTGGAAATGAGTCTTTTAAAAAGCATGCTTTTTGGCTGGTTCTACAGAGCAGTGCGCGAAATATCTGAAATGGCACATGTGCATTCTCTTGCTATCCTACCAGAATAGAACATTTTTTCACATCTGAAGCAGTCTTCAAATAAACACTTTGACATCCGTCCCAGCATGGTGCAGTGGTTAAGATCGGCGGACTCTAAACTAGAGAACTGGGTTTGATTCCCCAGTCCTCTGTACAAAGCCTGCTGGCTGACCTTGGGTCAGTCACAGTTCTCTCACAACTGTTTCAGCCCCACCTACCTCACAAAGGGCCTGTTGTGGCATTAATTCTGGAAGTATGTTGTGAATGAATAAGCCAAATGCAAGATTATAAACAAAAATGTTTAAAATTGTCCAAATGCAAAGCCCACCGGAGGAATGCCAATGCCAGTTCCGGCATCTGGCCCCCAGCAGTGGGTTTAGGAAATGAATTGGTTGATTCTTTTCTTTAAAAAAGAAAAACTGTCAGTTATCATTAAGATAGCTGTGTTGGTTTGCAGCAACAGAACAAAGTTTGAGTCCAGTGGTACTTTTAAGACCAATAATGTTTGATTCTGGGTATAAGCTCTCATGTGCATGCACACTTCTTCAGATATCTGGACATGGAAGCTTGTACCCAGAATTAAACTTTGTTGGTCTTAAAAATGCCACTGGACTCAAACTTTGTTCTGTCAGTTTTCATGCATGCCTACATAATTCATGGATTCCTCAATTGTTCGGTAGAATCTCAGCTCAGGATATTGATATACATTGTTTTCGTTTGTGATCACCCTGCATAATTGTCCTTGTGATGTCTGATGTCACACTGCATCATGGTCTTAATAATGCAAGACTTTGTGTTTCTTGCATATGCCTGCTGATTGACCTTAGCAAAAAAAAAAGTGATATTGGGGGATTAGATAAGATCACCAAAGACAGTGTGACTCATGGCAGATATCGTGAGCATACAGAAAGTTGCTAAGGAACATTAAAGCCTCCATGTTTAGACTGAATGTACAATACACTTTTAAAAACAGAAAATTATCTGAGCTGGATTTGCTCCAATATGCTGATGACACCCAGCTCTATCTGATGTTGGGCGGCCGGTTGGACTCTGGTCCCAATGACCTAGCGCGGGCGCTGCAAGCCGTGGCTGGTTGGCTCAGACTGAGTCAGTTGAAATTAAACCCAGCAAAGACGGAGGTCCTGGGCCTGTGTCGGAGCAGCCGAGAGTTGGGGCAGCCTCTCCCGGCCTTCGGTGGGGTACCATTGGTACCCGTGTGGGAGGCTAGGAGTTTGGGTGTGCTCCTGGACTCCTTTTACCATCTGCGGCTAGCCCGGCAGTTGGTTCCCTACCTCGACCGTGACGACCTGGCCACTGTGATCCATGCAACGGTTACCTCGAGGCTGGACTACTGTAATGCTCTCTACTTGGTGCTGCCTCTGTCGCAAATCCAGAAGCTGCAGCTAGTGCAGAATGCTGCAGGTAGGCTGTTGATGGGTCTCTCCAGGTGAGACCACATCCGGCCGGTGCTGCAAGCGCTGCACTGGCTGCCTATAGCATACCGGATTCGCTTCAAAGTGCTGGTGCTTACCTTTAAAGCCCTGAATGGCCAGGGTCCGGCTTACCTAAGGGACCGCCTCTTCCCATATGTTCACTCAGCACTGCGATCGGGGAACCTCCATCGCCTCGAAGTTCCAGGCCCCCGAGCTGCAAGGTTGGCCCATACCAGATCTAGGGCATTCTCGGTGGCGGCTCCTGCCTGGTGGAATGAGCTCCTGGAGGAGATCCGGGCCCTGCGGGACCTTATACTGTTCCGTAGGGCCTGTAAGACGGAGCTCTTCCACCAGGCCTTTGGGTAGGAGCCGCCGCCACTATACCACCACCGCGGTGATACCATCCATCTACCGTACCTTGGGGAGTAGATGTTGCCCGATTGTGCTGCGGAAATATTGCTCCTGGCGCTTTCGCTATCAAGAACACTGGCTGCAAATGTGGGTTGCTGTATTTTTTGTAAATTCTATGTAGATTTTTGTAGCACCAAATTTTATTATATATGTAATATTGTTTTTATTGTACCCAATTTTTAAACTTGTTGCTAGCCACCCTGAGCCACTGGGTAGGGCGGGATAAAAATCTCAAAAATAAAATAAAAAATAAATAAATTGGTCAACTCAAGCGAGTGCCGTGCTGATAATGAATGTGGGCAGCCATGGCACTGGGCCGATGGAACTTTGTCTGTCTCCTTCTGTCACTCTCTTCCTCCAGCAGGGTAGACTTTCTTCAGTTCATCTGTCAATTCCCTCAACAATCCCTCCTTCTTGCCCTATGTATTCACTACTGTCTTATGGGCTTCTAATATGTATTTTAGTTTTGATTTTATGCATTCTTATATAAGTTTTTAACTGTTGGCCTCTTTGGTGGCCTCGATTGGGTAGAAAGCCAGTGCACCATCTTTGCAAATAAATAAATAAATAATGGATCGTCAAATGGATTCTCTGCATTGAAATCTACAGCAGGCCTTAATCTGTGCAGGCTTGCTTCATAGATCTCCTCTGTATCTGACAGTCTACTCTTGCCTGGTTCTAAGAGAGGCGTGGATTCAGAGAGCAGTCTCATTTCAAACAGGGCATCTGCATGGACATTTCCTCACCCTGACAGAAAGTACGAAGGTATAAAATTGCTCCGGGGACTAGGGGTAGGCAAGCTTCTGAATGACACCACGGAGGCCCAGCCAATCAGTACTGGATGAAGCCAGCATCTGCTTCAAACTTGCAGAAATCACCCCCCCCCCCCCCACCACCACCACCACCAGTACTGAACCTTCAATAGGAATATTTATTAGTCGTTGTAGATTTTCCGGGCTGTATGGCCATGGTCTTGGCGTTGTAGTACCGGACATTTCGCCAGCAGTTGTGACTGACATCCTCAGAGGTATAACGCTTCTGTGCCAGTCACAGCTGCTGGCGAAATGTCCGGTACTACAATGCCAAGACCACGGCCATACAGCCCAGAAAATCTACAACAACGAATTAACTCTGGCCGTGAAAGCTTTCGACAACATAAGGAATATTTATGTTTGGATTGACTGCAGTGAAGGCAGTTCTAGAGAGGCCTCATTGCTCTAAAAATGTTGCATCTGTTTTCATCATTGCAAGCTGTTCATCCGGTTTGCATTCCTACATTTGCATGAGATCAGCCGCATTGTTTTCACTGAAGCAGGGAAGTGTTGTCTCCGCGCTTCCCTCTTGTTGCTCTTTTCAAAACATTTCCCCTCCCCTCCCAAAAAACTTTGCAGAACGTTATACATCCACGGACACACAAAGTTGGATTTCACAGTCTGGCGTGGCGCAATTGAAAAAGCAGCAGGTACAGATGGCAACGTGTTGGAAGATCAGCAGCTCAGCAAAAACGACGTCCCCATTATAGTGAACAGCTGTATTGCATTTGTTACACAGTATGGTAAGTGGAGCGGAGCATTTGTTCGAGTCGCTGGAAGCTGGAGGTGCATCCGGACGGAGTCTGTAAGAAGCATCTCTATCTGATTGCGCTCCTTGGGCTTGTGCTGTTATCTGGAAAGGGCATGCTTTGCGAGAGGCTTTTCTGTGCGTGTGTGTGTAGCTGCAATGTATGTAGTCGAGAGAAAGAGCAAAGTGCATCTGATTATGGGGAAACCAGTTTGGGAAATGAACATAGGAGCATCTTGGGAAACATTATAAGCCTCTTTTTTTTAACGTTAGGCGTAGGTGAACTGAGAGGTGAAGCCCTGTACAGGGAAAAAAGGCATTAATTGTTGTTACATACGTAGTCCCAACGGCGTCATCCAAGATAGATAGGCAATGAAGTCTGCAAGGCAGTGGCTTCATAGTGGGGACTTTGGCATGTCTCCACGAGGAAATCCGTCGTGGCGGTCCAAACTTCCCAGAAAGACAGTTCATCCACCACTGCTGATCTTTCTTAACAGCCGGTAGCTAATTTTGTTAGTCTTTAAAGTCCTACTAGGAGCTGCGGTGGCTCAAGTGGTTAAGACGCTGAACTGCAGGCTGTGGAAGGTCGGTAGTTCAGCAGTTCGAGACCCGAGTGTGCCGCATGATGGAGTGAGCTCCCGTCTCTAGTTCCAGCTCCTGCCAACCTAGCAGTTCGAAAGCAGGAAATTGCAAGTAGATAAATAGGTACCACTTCGGTGGGAAGGTAACAGCGTTCCGTGCGCCTTGGTGTTTAGTCATGCCGGCCACATGACCACGGAAACATCTTCGGACAGCGCTGGCTCTTCGGCTTTGAAACGGAGATGAGCACCGCAACCCTAGAGTCGGATCTGACTGGCTTTCGAGCAAGGGAACCTTTACCTTTACCTTTAAAGTCCTACTGCCGCTGGACTCTTGCTGTTTTGTACAGCTAGTAGCCCAACTGAGGGCTACTGGGAGCAGGGGGTGGAGCCTGTTGCATGTGCCCACCCCCTGGACTCCTTACTGCTGGAGCTCCGCTCCTGTGCGCTACCGCAGGCAATGACCCCTGGTTAGATCCATCCCACTGTGTGGGAGAAGGGGAGCATGTACTGTGGGAAAGACACATGTGCATAGCCTCTGCTTGCCTGTTTAGATCATATTAGCATTCTCCTTAGGCTAATTTCGCACGCCTCGGATAATGCCCTTTCAGTATGCTTTAGCAATCCTTGGCAGTTGGATTTCCCTGTGCGAAACAGGAAAACCTACTTGCAAACAATTGCTAAAGTGCATTATCCAACATGTGTGAAATTAGCCCCAGCAGTACGAGAGTTTCTCACAGGTTAAGCCGGTCCCGCATAGGTAGCAGAATAGCGTAATGTCTATTCCGGTGACACTGTGCTTCCTTGAGAGATACGGAATGTGGAAAACTCTAGCAATGCTGTAGGTCCTTTAGAGTTTGCTCCTCTAGCTGTGTCCATGTCTCTATTGATTCATTATGTGTGTATGCATGTACATCCATGAAGCTGCCTTATACTGAACCAGACCACTGGTTCGTCGAGATCAGTATTGTCTACTCAGAAAGGCAGCAGCTCTCCGGGATCTCAGGCAGAAAGGTCTTTCAGTTCACCCTGCTCCTTTTAACTGGAGATGCTGGGGATTGAACCTGGGACCTTCAAAGCAGAGGCTCATCCACTGAGCCACAGCCCCAACCCCAACGTGTCTCCTGTGTAGTGGTTTTCTTTCCTGCACAAAACATTTTATACTCAGGTGCCTGGATATTTTTAAATTATTATTATTATTGTCATTATTATTGTTGTTGTTGTTGTTATTGTTGTTGTTGTGGTTATTATTATTGTTGTTGTTGTTATTGTTGTTGTTGTTGATGATGATGATGATAATAATAAACGTGATCTGTTTCTTAAGGTTTGAGTAGTAAGCATATCTACTTGAACAGCGGGGATCCCGCACACGTGAGCGACCTCCTAGAATGCTTCAAAAAAGATGCAAGGAGCGTGAAGCTGAGGGCCGGGACGAATCGCCTGGAAGACGTCACGGAGACGCTGAAATGTTTTCTGTTTGAAATAGATGACGCCCTCCTTACCAAACAGCTTTATCCATTCTGGATCACTGCACTAGGTAACACATTGCGTGGTAGCTTCAAAGCTGTGGATGTCTGCATCTTGTGATCATGATTATTTTTAAGTCAGACCCTGAGATTCTGTCCTTGGCCGAGACAAAAGACTCAGGTGGGCCTGTACAAGCTAGGACTGTCTTTGATTTTAAATAACTGTGCTTGTTGAGGGCAGAGAGAATGTGAGCTTGTGTTCCTCAGGCTCTTAGCTGCAGTTCATTGCTATGGAGGAAAGTGAAACCTTGCAGGGGGGCGATGTGTTCAGTAAGGCAAATGGTGTCCTTCACTTACCTTGCCGGGGGGCACCGCAAAGGTGTGTTCAGCTTATTTTTGTCTGTGTTGAGTGCCTGCAACACAGGGGTCCTTCTTTCCATGGACACAACCCTCCCGTAATTATGATCGGTGTTTTGCTCATTGTCAAGTGTCACAGTCAAGGGTGTGTCCTCCTGAAAGATTATTCGTGGACTCAGTGTTCCCCTGACTTTCCCCATCTTTCCTTTGTCTGCAATGATGATGAGTCTGTCTTGGAAGGGTGTCAATTCGCTCTTCCCTTTCCATGCACCCAAGACTTTCCTCTCTCTATTTGAACAAGTATTTTCAAGGTCTATAGTAGCCCAGACTAGCCCAATCTCATCATAGCCTGGAAACCAAGCAGCCCTGGTTAGTACGTGGATGAGAGACCACCAAGGAAGGCACATGTTGCTGCACAGAGGAAGGCAATGGCAAACCACCTCTGCTCTTTCCTTGCCTTGAAGACCGCACGATGGGGGTCAATCGGTTGCAACTTGACAGCTCTCTTCTTCTTTCTTCTTCTTCTTCTTCTTCTTCTTCTTCTTCTTCTTCTTCTTCTTCTTCTTCTTCTTCTTCTTCTTCTTCTTCTTCTTCTTCTTCTTCTTCTTCTTCTTCCCCCCAAGGCTCAGGGTTAGGGCAGGGAGCTCTCCAGGGAACTCTCCAGCTTTCTAGCCCCGTCTTTCTGGTAAGCTTGGAAAAGGAGGGGGGAGGCTTTTTATAACGGTCATGTGAACTCTCTGAGCGGTTGTTGAAAGCTATGGAAAGCACCTTTTGAGTGTCTCTCTCTAGTTAATTTTTCATTTCACCTTTCCTGCAAGTTAAGGGCCGCGCACTGGGGTTCTACCTTGCCCATTTTATCCTTGCAAGAAACCTTTCTGGTAGGTTAGGCCGAAACCAAAATTGGCCTAAGGTCATCCAGTGGATTTCATAGCAGCGTGGGGATTTGAACCTGGGTCTTCCAAGTCCTAGTCTGACACTGTAACCATTATACCACACTGGCTCTGAAGTCAACAGAGAAGCCCAGGGTACAAAGAGAAGCAGGGGCTGTTCAAGTTAAAATGGTGACTTTGCCAGTGGCAAACTGGCAGGTCCATGTATGGACCCTGCAATGAGCACATCTTGAAATGATTGGTTATTGAGGAGGAAAGAGATGGAGTCTAATCAATACTTTGACCTCTCGGTAACCTGTCTCGAACAGTAAGAGCCTCAGTGTCCTCATTCCACCTCTTTGTCCCTCTTGTCCATTTGAATTTTAATTGGTTGTGCTCATTAAATGCATCTGTCCAGTGAACAGAGAGATCTGGCTCTTGCTTAATGGATCATTACCCTGAGACCCCACGGCAAGTGATACTTGAATTCAGAAGTTGCAGCGCAGATCCTAAATCCCAAGGTTGTTTCTAGCACAGAAACCATCTGCGGCGAAAGAAGAAAATCATCTATATTGTGTCTGTGAAGTGGAGGCTGATTGGTTAAATAGCCATTTTATATGACTTCGATACTGCCAAGGTGGCAAATCAATATCCTTCTCTTTCTTCTTTTTGGACTGCATTGTTGTTAATGCTCGGTAATTTAATTTCCTCCCCCCCCATCCTTTCCCTTCCACATCAGATACAGTGGATGACAAAGAGCGAGTGAGAAAATACAGCACTTTTATTCGAACACTTCCACCAGTCAATAGGGCAACGCTGGCAGCTTTAATGGAACACCTTTACAGGTCAGCATATCTAAAAATTGACTGAAATAATGCGGCATATTGGAGAGGGTTCCGATAAACGTTTTTTAACTCGGTCACAGCTTTGGGGGCAACATGTGTGTCTGGGTGTGTGGGGAGAGAATGAGATGAATATGTTCAAGATGGGTCTAGCAGTGGCTGCTAATAGCAGGTAGACAGCTTTGATGCAGCTCTATACAACGCTCAAAGTACTTATTAAATATCCTCCCAGGAATCCTTTCAACCCTGTCAGATGGGAGTTCTCTTATTATTTAGCACTGCATTGCAGATGGGAAGGCAAGGCTGGAAGTGCCTTGCTAGTGAGTTCACTGGTGGGGCGGGGTATGGATAGGGGAATCCTGCTCCACACACCCCTCTCCTCTCCTGCTAGACCTGGTGATCAAATGCATAAGGATGGACTGTCAGGCAATGGGGCCTTTCGGTAGGGAATTGCCAGAGGTGGGTGCATGCGTGGTTGTGTGTTTTTAAAATTCGGCGCCAAAGGTAGCTGTATCATATTGTGTCGTGTTGCATTATATTGCATTGCTTTGACATCATATTGTGTGTGTGTGTGTGATGTAAAACTAGCAAGTTTGCATATTTCAAGCTGTTTTGGGGAATTGGTTGGGTTGTTGCCGCTGCTCATGGGGAAGTCTAAGGATGGCCCACAGCCATGATAGTAAAATCTCAAGGTGTGCTTCTGGGCATCCGAAATACCCCAGAATTGTGCAGCACCTTAAAGACTTACAAGTTTTCATTCTAGCCTGAACGTCATCACATGGTCCTTGTCAGAAATGGTCCATTATTAGGGTTGCCAGCTCCAGGTTGGGAAATTCCTGGAAATTTTGGGAGTGAAGCCTGAGGAGGACAAGGCTTTGGGAGCGGAGGGGAGAAGAGGGGGAAAGACTTGGGGTATAATGCCACAGAGTCCACCTTCCAAAGCGGCCATTTTCTCCAGGAGACTTGATTCTCTGTCGCCTGCAGATCAGTTGTAATCCCAGATCTCCAGCGTCCACCTGGAAGTTGGCAACCTTGTCCATTATGCTGGCCGAGAGAGGCTCTTAGTGCCAAATTGTGTGCAGTCTTAGGTCAGGTATATAATTTAAACTCCAGAAAGCAGGCTTTGGTGGGAGATTCATGGTGGGGAAGAGACAAACACCTGTATTGTACCCCATTGTTTACCCCTTTGAATTCAGTAACAGCTTTAGGGAGGCGGAGGTACCTCAGGAGATAGCACAAGAGAGAGGCGGTAACCCCCACATCCCTTAGCATCATGGCTGTGATTCAAATCTAGCCCCGTGGCTGGGTTTCTTTAGCTTAAATTGTAGCTTGTGAGATACAGTAAGAGCTTTCCTCAGTATCTCCTCACGGGCCCTCGGCCTAATCCACAGGCAGCCCTTCTGCTGAGAAAGCTCTTCACAGTGCTCTCACCAAGATAGGCAGAACAAACTGTGTGAAAGCAGGTGGCATGAGAAGCCTAAGTTAATGAGCAATGGGTGCGGGGAAGGGAAATTCATTTGCACTTGCTCAGAGAGCGTTTTTCTAAATGGACGTATTTGCTTTTTACACAGGGTACAAAAGTGTTCCGAAATCAATCACATGGATCCTCACAATCTCGCTATGGCGTTTTCCTCGTGCCTGTTTCAGACTAAAGGGCAGACCAGTGAAGAAGTCAATGTAATTGAAGACCTTATTATAAACTATGTGCATCTCTTTGACGTAAGCACATGGCATTTTTAAAAAATAAGATCTCTCAAGTTCTGTGATTTAGAAAGTGGATGAAAATATCTATCATGCAACATTTTGTCTCTCGTTAGCACTGCTTTCAGCAGCCCCTTGGGATGGTTGGCGCTCTTGTTTCCAGTCTGAAGTATTTTCTCATCCTTCACGAGTGAGATCTACTGGCAAAAAGCTAAAGCGGTGCTTTCAGATTTGCTGCAAATTGTTTCTGTCTAATGGCATGCGAGGACTGTGTTTGTCATTCGCTAAGAAAATACCACGATGGTCATCTCTGCTCATAATTACTTGTACTCAAATGTTTGTTGCGCTGCTGCTATCATCCATTTCACACACAGGGTGGTTTACACAGGTTCCATCAGCTAGATGGCTCTTCCCGCTGTTGACCCAACAATGTGTGATCAACACTGAGTCAGGGACAATGGATATAAACAAAGGCTGCTAAACCACCTACATCTGGGGATGAAGACAAAGATTTTGAAATCTTGCACCGATGGCAATGCAAGTTTCCCTTGTGTGTGCAAATGCGCTAGAGAAGATGTTCTCATGTTTCTTAAAAAAGAAATGGACCAGCCATTCCTTTACTCAAGCATTCACCATGAACACTAGTTTTGAGGGTGAATTCATAATCTGTGTTTGAGCTCACTAGGGCCTTTATGGTGGGGTGCATCCTACCCCTATCCTACCACTCCTGTGAGCAACGTTTATTTATTAATTAAAATATTTATACCCCACTTTTCCTTTTGACTCAGGGTTGGAGCCTCCCTCCAGTTTAAGGAGTCCTTTTAATAATGTGAAAACTTCCTCCATTTAAATGGGGCCAGTTTAGAGATACTTTTGGAAATGCAGTAAAAGGTGAAGGTGTAATGGGGTTCTTTCTAGTCTTCTTTCAAAACTAGGCTGATCTGCTGCGTCACACTTGGGGACCATTTCCTGGTCCTATAGGGAGTAAAATTAGAGCTCAGATTGTTGTTTCTCACATGATTGCTCCCAGAGGATAGATTTGGATTCTGTAACATTAATTCTGGGAACCAAACGGGCCTGATTGCGATCACAGAGGTAGCCAAGGAAAAATGTAGAAATCAAGTCCGTAATATTAGGAAACCAAAATACAATCAATACTACTGCAACCTCTTTCTGAGACATAGGTGAAATCTCCTTTGCTATTGAAATTTTGGTACTCATTAATGATGGTGACTCTGAGCTGGACGGCAAAGTTTATCAAATGTTGGCCACCAAAATTAATTTGGTCATCTTTGGCTTTCTGTTGATCAAGTTATTACAGTGGTTATTGATTAATCCCATCTCAAAAAAGGAGATCTTGTTAAACATTCTGTGGAGTTGCCGAGTATTTTCAATAAACAGAGTAGTTAGTCCCCCACTGGGCCTACTCTTATGACCTGTTTTCTTGGCACCTATTGAATAAGAAGAGTAACCTTTTAATGAGATATATTTAAGGGCTCAGGTTTCTTGAACTAAAATAATATCAAAACTATTCAGTAAAAAAGGGTACTGTAGGATCAGATTGTCTCCCAACCCATCCAACTATAGTCTGTGAGAATAAACAAAGATTGTTTCTTAGTCCTGAGCTTCTAAAAAACTGACAACAGTAATAGATGTAGAAATGTGAGAAGGCTCACCTCGAATGCCATTTGATGGAGCAGATAGCAGGGATATTTTAATAGATTCCATGAAGTTATTTTGAATTGTGAAATCCACTAGGGGAGGACTGGTTGAATTCATGGAGCCAATTGGATTCAGATTTTCTAAATTGATCAGCTGAGCATCCCTTTGGAAGGTCTTAATACTGGGAATAGTTAGCTGATTATTTGGAGTGTCAAGCTGGGGTAACATATGATCATATTCAGTTTGAGAGAGGTTCCTACTGACCCAAGGATTTCTTCATCAAAAGAATACTTTCCTAGAGGGCCTGAGGAATTTACTCCAGGAATGAAATTAACCAATGTTTTTGATTTACAGTTTATTGATTTCCTTACATGATAAAGATTAAGATTACCCTGCTTACTCTAGTGGGTGTCCTTGAACACCCTCTGTATAAAAATAATATGTAGCTTAACATTCCTCCTTTTTGCCCATATCATGGAGAGGATTTTCTTCAAATAAAAAGTTAACGACAACTTGGTGTGAGTATGGAAGTCAGACATAATTAGAAAAGAGTTCAGATTGATTCTAATCAGTGACTGACCTAGAAGTTCATACAGATGATTCAGAATAGACCATCTATCATTCCTTTTTCGGGTTTTTTTTAAAAAAAATCCTCCAAAAGGAGATAGAAAGGACCACATTAAAGGGATTTAAAATCAGGGAATTCGCATTAGAGCTAATGGGGTGATAAATGAAATGAGATTTTTTTTAAAAAAAAAAGATTCATCAGTTACCAGAGAGGGAGCATATGACAGTCCCACTTCTGAGTTCAATTTTGAAAGAGTCTTGCAGCACATCTAATTTTTCATAGATTTTGTCTAGAGTTTGAGCAATCAAAAAGGTCTGATTAACAAGAGTTTGTACAAGGAAATCAGACTCTTTTAGGCTAGAGGGTGCAGGAGCTGGATTAACCCAATCTGTTACTTGCCAAAGGGTGTTGTTGTTGTCAGGGGCAGGGACATCCAAAATCAGGGCATCAAAGGTGTTATTTTAATGAACAGGTTCATTTTGGTGAAAAATTTTCATCAATTCTCAATTTCATTGATTTGGGTTCAACTATTTCTAATGAGTTATCATCTAGAGTTCTATTTTTCTCCATTATTAAATATGGTATAGTGTATAATGTGAAAAAATAGTAATGAAATTAAATATTAAGTAATAATGATCGCAAGATAAAGGATGAAAACAATATAACACAATGAATTATAGTATAAATAATACAAAGAATGGATTTACTATAAGTACCATACATACTTGATTATACTTATAATACTGTGAGTACTCCATTATACCACTGGAGCTCTGAGTTATACTCTAAAATGTTACTGTTACTAATTTGTAACTTAATATAAAAATTCCTAAGTATAAGTTTTTAAAATTAGATAACACAGTGAAATAAAATAAATGTGCAAACCTAACACCACCTTTTAAGCTAATATATTAGACGTTCTAGTATATTAGGAATATTAAGCTATCACCTCACTACTCCTACTCCTACACCTACTCCTACGCTTTCTCAGTCTCACTAAAATTTGTACTCTAGGGACTCTTAAGATGCTTACAGCTACTGGTTTACTACCAATAGTATTTTACCTCCCGCAACTTCTGTCATCTAGCTTATAGCTGTTAGCTGTACAAGTTATGTAATATTTTCGAAAAGGGAAGAGAAGGGGAAGAAGAAAGAAAGAGGGAGGAGGGAGGGAATACCCCCCCTCCCCAAATTGCTAAAAAGCTCAGCATCTACCAAGGCTGTTTATCACATCAAATCAGCTGACAGCTGGCAACTGAACTGACAGTGAACAAGGCTGAATCGAAACAATAACAAAGAGAAGAATTAATTGAAATATCCTTTGATAGAAAAAATAAATAAAAATAAGAAATGAAAACGCATTGCAAGGGATGACTATAACGCTGCCCATTCAAGCTGAAACCATAGCAAAGAGTGAGTTGAGCTAGAAATATTCTCCCTGATGAGCTAATGCTTTTCTTGTAGGGACTCTTTTGGTGGTGGACAGCATTGAAAAATGGAACCTCCCGATTGCAGTCTGAAGTGGTACGGTCTACTCTGTCACCACAGGTCTCTACCACCTCATTCTGCTGCCCACATGCACCATACCACAGTAATTGGATAGTATTGTTGGTCTTTTTTTTGAATTTGCAGTGATGAAGCCAACTTCTGTTGTTGTTGTTGTTGTTGTTGTTTTGAAAAAAGCACAAGAAGTTATAAAGGGATGTGGGTGCCAGTTTTCGGGTGTTGTATAAACTGTTTCTTTATGAACAGGTACATGAAGAGCAAGTGAAACAAATGGATATCGAGAATAGCTTCATTACGAAGTGGAATGATACTCCAGTAAGTAATAATGATACCTTCTTCCACCATCCCTGACTTCCTGGCCTAAATGATGAAGGGAAGATTAAAGACCCTTGAAGATGGTTTGTGTATCACCAGCATACAACATTGAATAGTTAACTCAGGGCCAAACTACATGAGGTACCGTCCTGGGGGTTCATCCCAGGGACACGTTTCCATTCTGTATCACTGGGGAAAGCTGTTTAAAAGCACCAGGAGATTCCCATTATGGTAAGTACCTCCATGGCATGGTGGGAACAGGCTCCTGTCTGCTCCAGTTTTCTGACTCAAAACGTAGCTGGAGAACATATCTGCCAAGCCTCCCCCCCCCACCATTTCAGGTCAGAAAAATGGCACAGACGGAAGGTGAGAGCCTCTCCTCCCACTGTACTGCAATGGTCCTGACCCGAATCACCCTCTCATGGCACTCTTGAATGGCGTTGCAAAACCAGTGTTGCAAAACAGAGGTGTTTTCCCAGGGAATACCTGAGGACGGTGTCTCTTTTAGTTCAACCCTCAAGCAAATTAACTAGGAAGTGAATGCAATTTTAGTGTCCCTCACCAAGGGGCTCTTCAAGTGGGTAACCAATAATTCTGAATTATTTCATATGAAATGCTATCCCATGGCCGTTACAATCTCATATCTTCTTTGGTCAAACAGTTTATAGCAAGGAATTTCACACAGACTAAGATACAAGTTCTCAGAATAGATAACCAGCAAATATGGAATGTAAACATGTAAGACCTAAGGGGGGGGGGAGAAGAAGAGATTGGATTTATACCCCACCCTTCACTTGGAGTATCAGAGCGGCTTACAAACTCCTTTCCCTTCCCCTCCCCACAACAGACACCCTGGGAGGCAGGCGGGGCTGAGAGAGCTCTTTCAAGGACTGCTCTTTCAAGGACAGCTCTGACAGAACTATGGCTTGCCCAAGATCATCCAGCAGCTGCGAGTGGAGGAGTGGGGAGTCAAACCCGATTCTCCCAGATTAGAGTCCACGCACTTAACCACTACACCAAACTGGGTAGCTTGTGGGATCAGAGATCTCAAGGCAGGAATCTTGGTATAAATCTTTCAGCCTTGGAAATAGTGATCCTGACCCTGATGGAGTGACAGGCACTGAAGTTTCCACGGAACTAGATACGATCCAGTAGCTAATCAGGAATTTATACATGGTAGTTGGAATGAAGTCTCCATGTTTCTGGAGAAACAGTTTATAAATTTTTTGAATAGACCCTTCTCTGCCATGTGCTTCAGCTTCTAGCACATGACCTGTGGGTCCTCTGAAGACAAATGTTCAGATCTGGCTACAGTATGGCTGGAGTTAAGGGTTAAGAGTTGGCCTCGGCCAATGAGACGCTTGCATTCCTAGTTCTTCCATTCCAACTTTGAATGAGCATTAGATTATTTCAGGGAGTCTCATGTCTGATCCAGTGACCTCTTCATCATCCCTCTAATCTACCAAAACCTAGTCAAGTGGAGACCATTGTAGGAACTTCCATGAATATTCGCAGGATCCAGTTTGGGGGGAGGCAGTGCTCGTGCCAAAAACAAGACACCCCTCCCTCCAAAATCAATTTATGTGTTTCAGAGCACTCGGTCTGATCCCTTTTTCTTCTTGACAAGCTCTCTTGCAAAGAGAGTGGCGTGGTTGTGCTGGGCATCATGCTGCGGTTCACCGTGTCTAAAGTGGCAATTGTCCTCTGCTTTCCTGGTTAGGGGGAGCTGCGGTGGCTCAAGTGGTTAAGACGCTGAACTGCAGGCTGTGGAAGGTCAGTAGTTCAGCAGTTCGAGACCCGAGTGTGCCGCAAGACAGAGTGAGCGCCCGTCTCTAGTTCCAGCTCCTGCCAACCTAGCAGTTCGAAAGCAAGAAATTGCAAGTAGATAAATAGGTACCACTTCGGTTGGGAAGGTAACAGCGTTCCGTGCGCCTCAGCATTTTGTCATGCCGGCCACATGACCACGGAAACGTCTTCGGACAGCGCTGGCTCTTCGGCTTTGAAACGGAGATGAGCACCGCAACCCTAGAGTCGGATTCGACTGGCTTTCGAGCAAGGGAACCTTTACCTTTTACCCTTCCTGGTTAGGAGTGCAGACTCTAATCTGGGAGACCTGGGTTTGGTTCCCCACTCCTCCACATGCAGCTGCTGGAGTGACCTTGGGTCTGTCATAAGTTCTTTCAGAGCTGTTTTCTCACGGGCAGTTCTGAGAGAGCTCTCTCAGCCCCACCTACCTCACAGGGTGTTTCTTGTGGGAAAGGGAAGGGAAAGGAGATTGTCAGCGGCTCTGAGACTCCTTCGGGTAGTGAAGGGCAGGGTATAAATCCAATCTCTTCTCCTTCTGTCTATTTAATCCCACTTTCTCCCCATGGGGCTCAGAAAAGTGTACATGGATCTTCCCTCCCTGTTTTCATCTTCACAGCTGCCCTTCCAAGTAGGTTGGGCTGAGAGAGAATGACTGTCCCATGGTCACTAGTGTCATGGCAGGTAGGGATTTGAACCCAGGTAAGGTACTCGGCAGATGAAGGGGGAATGGATGCTCTCCTTTGAACTGTCTGAAGCTGCTTTAAAGGAGGAAAACATTTGGCACCCTGTTTGTCTGTGATCTGTGATTTCCTTGTCCTTAGCAGCTCATTGACTCACGAATCTTGAGCAGCAGAAAACACGTCTTATTTTTTAGATGCAAGGGCTAAAAAGACTGAGACAAATTTTTGCAGTTGCTAGAGTGATCTTGTGGTCTGTTAAGATTTCCTGAAACTGTGGGTCTCTTTTTATGTGAGGTTTCATTGCATGGAGATCCCCAGTTTGACTCAAGATGATCACAGGGGTATTTGTTTTCAGGTCTTGGGGGGGGGGGGGGGGGGGGGGTTTCCTTCTGAGTCCATTATAAATTTAAGAGCAGAGATCCACAGCATCCCCTAGATGGAGCCATTTGTCTGGCTGTTTGATGCAGTCTAAACAATCCATGTACCCCTTGTGGCCTGTGAGTTCTATTTATTGCATGAGATGATCTTCTGTTAACTTTTTAGGAGGCAAAGGCATTTAAGTATAGGGATGCTGTACGTTCATACCACCGCTTTTTGTTTCATAGTGAAGATGGCTGGCAGAAATTAAGCTACCTTGGTGGGTGAGGCAGGAGTTTTAAAGCGGCTTTTTAAAACGATTAAGAAGAGGAAGCTGGTTGAAAAATAAAACCAGTTCAGCCCAAACCTTCTTTTGCAGCTCAGAGGAAAACGTCCCGCCTCTCCTGTTGCCTGCTATGACCTTGTTTTCCAACCCAGCCGGTGCTTGGCTTAACCATTCTTCATCTTTATTTTTTTTCTGCCCACCAAACACTTTGCCAGCTCTTTTCATTTACTGCAGTAATTTGCGGCACAGATTTTCCCCCAGTGTGCAGTTGTTTACATATGCTCAGTGGAAATCAAATGTCAGCTTCGTTCTTTCCCCCAAACTCCCCCTCCCTCCAGCAGTAATATCTGAAAAGCAAATTTTACCAAGCTTCTCCCCCCCCCTGAATCTCTGCCAGTATAATTAAGAAGCTTTCTTCAAAGTAGCTTTGTAACATTTTTTTTCTCCCTCACAAATGATTCCATTAGTTTTGATTCTCAGAGGCCGCTGTGACCTAAAAGTCCTAATTTCTCCATTATGCAGCTCTTTACAGCAGAGCGCGGCTGTGTGGTTTTAAGACATGGAAAAATGAAGTGCTTTTTCTACAGAAAGTTGCTCAAAATATTTCCCATAAGTTCCCCATTCTGTCATTCTGCCATGCTAGAAAATGACTACTAAATAGCACTTGCATTCTGGAAACATTTCCTTCCCTCCAGGGCTCTTTGTGTAGATAAAGCCCAGCAGGAACTCATTAGCATAATAGGCCACACCCAACAGCAGAAACTCATTCACATATTAGGCCACACCCATGACAGCACAGCTCATTGGCATATTAGGCCACACCCCCATGTTACCAGAAATGTGCTCATCCAGCCACACCCACCTTTTGCTTCTTATTCTGCTTACCTTGTTTGTTGTCAAAACCCAGGGCCTTTTGTAGCGGGAACTCCTTTGCATGTTAGGCCACACACCCCTAATGTAGCCAATCCTAATGACTTTCTGCTGTTGGGTGTGGCCTATTATGCTAATGAGTTCCTGCTGGGCGTGGCCAACTTGAAAGCCAGCCGGAACTCCGTTCCTGTGCGTTCCTGCCCAAAAATAGCCCTGCTTCCCTCTATGACCACCCTCAGACATCAGAATTCCCACATCCACCCATCGTGTTGCGTGAGCTGGTCCTTATTATTCATCTCTGACCTGAAAAAAACCCATGTCTTACCAATCTGGTTCTACCAGGTGAAGGAATGTAGCAGCTTCTTATGAATTTATTTGTACACGCCATCTATACCCCCACCTTTCGCCCCCAACAGGGACGCAAAACAGCTTGCTTCATTCTCCTCTCCTGTGAGGTAGGTTAGGCTGGGAGCATGTGACTGACCCCAAGGCCAGGGGTGCTTTATCCCTGAACATACAACATGAGAGACACCTCAGAATACCCGTCTGCCTCACTTTTTGAAAAAGCCCCAAAAGAGAGCTAGGCAAGCCTTGAAAAATTTTGCTCTGGGGCTGAGCTCTAGGGCTAATTCTCTGCTCAAGTCAATGAGCTGGCACACACACCCGGCTCTGTTCTGGGACCCAGTGGTATGGGAGACGGCAACCCACAATGTGGTGGGTTGTAGTGGAAGTCAGTGGGCTCAGAAGGATGTGTGTGCACAGTTTTTTATGTGGGAGAAGGACCCATGTGGGGAAGTGATGACTAATGGTGATTTGCATGTGTGAAATGGCACGTGTGGGGGAAGGAAGAAAGAAGAGACCAGATAGTCTTAATGTTTCATTGTTGGAAATTGCTTTTCTTCTTTTTTCTCCCCCCCCCCCCCCTTTTTTTGGTTTTGTTTTGAATATAGGTTTCACAGGCGGGAGACTTGCTAGTTGAGGTGTACGTGGAAAGAAAGGAACCAGACTGCAGTGTTATAGTCAGGGTTTGTATGTCACATCTATTTTTTTGTAAAGCTTCTGTGAGCTTTAAATAGTACAAAGCACTTGATTTAAATATAGGTATTAAAGTCCTGAATTATGACTTCTGTCAATTTTAGTTGTCTTTCTCTTTAAAAAAAATGGTTCACAACCTTGAATGGTCCCCCGGGGGGGGGGGGGGGAAATAGACAAAAAGGGGTTTTGCTAAATTACTGTACATTAATATGCTGGACATGAAAGTGGTTTGTATGGGAATTTAAAATGCCTCCCCTCTTTTCCTTGATGGGACATATGGTGGTTCCTTTTAGCTAAATAGATTCCTTTTATTTATTCATTCATTTCGATTTATATCCCACCTTTCCTGCACAGGCAGGCTCAAGGCAGCGTACAACAGGTTAAAATGCAATAAAACACAGATGCATAAGTGCAATACTATAAAATGCAATAAAACACAGATGCATAAATGCAATACTTTTAGCGAAATAAAAAAATAAAATAAAAAATTACATTAAATAAATAAGAATTAAAAAAAAAAAATCCATTGAAACCTGTAGTATATGGTCAGTTAAGCAATCAGTGGCTCAGGTGGGTTTCTCTCACAGATACTAGTTAAGTGCATGCATGCTCCCCTTAATGATAATATTAGTCCTGTGGTGGGGGGAGGAGCACAAAGAACTTAGCCAAGCCAATCCCTCCACACTCTGTGCTACAGTCTGACTGGGGTAGTCCAGCTACACAAGTTTGTACAGTGTTGTACACTCAGTTTCCTTACATAGGTAGGACTAAGCTTGCTTCTCTGTGCACATGGCCCTGCTTATAGTGGCATGCATTTTCAGGTCCAAATATTAAACAGATGATTATCAGTGCAATGCTAAGAAAAGTTACTCCAAAAGTTGGTTTCAGTGGCCTTAGACTGGAGTAACTCTGTTTCGGATTGCACTGCAAGACTTTTTTGAAAGGTGAGAGTCATGACAATATCAACGCGTTTTTCCCCTTAATCCTGCATCCCCAGAAATTAACAAATATCCAGTTGAGTGCTATTTTCACTTTGCAGTGACAAGGCCACTTAAAAGTCTGTCTCCCAGCGTTCCGTCAGGCAAGAAGAGCTTTGCTTTGATGCTCCAAAGCTTCTGGCTCACTTTCCTGACAATTGAAGTTTCCATCCGGGGTCCTAATAGCATTTCTGGAAACTGACAAGTCCTGTTGCAGAATCATTCCACCTTCCATGTGTTGAAGGCAAGGGGGGGTGGGGGAGAGATGGATGGAACATTAAATCCTTGCAGTCAAAGGGTTGTTAATGGTCCCAAGTTTCTTATTCATTATAATTTTAGATGGCAACTAATGGGTTGGCGAGAAGAGCCAAAAATAATGGCTGTTCCTTATACAGGTGTACATAATATTTACACATTTTATAGCTCAATCTACATATTTACATATCAATTTACATTGCAGTTGCAGTTATTTTTCTACTTTAAAAAACTTGCAGTTGGAAGGACGTTCAGGGGGACAACGCATTCAGTAGTATCCCTCTCTATTTCGCTAAACTGAGTGCTTTCCAGTCTTGTGTTGCATAGCTGATGATGGCTTGGCTGTGAATTAGATGAATAACGAAGGGATGCACAAGTCCGGCATTTTTGCAAATGGCCATTACAAAAGAACACCTAACCTTCTCTCCCTCCATTTAAGAGCGTAAAACTTCTGCACAAATGTGAACCTCACTACATAAAAACAAACAAACAAACATCTATTTTATTGAACTGTAACAATGTTCCAAACAGGTATCGCCGATGATGGAGGCCGAAGAATTGACCACTGACGTATTAGAGATCAAAAGCATCACGCCCCACAGGGATGACAGGTGGACTGCTTTTGAAGTGATTGAAAATGGAGAACTGGGTGAGTCCCTTCTGTATGTGGATGTTCATCTGGTTTCTTTTGTGTATTGGCGTTCCTCATTTGCAGAGAGGCTGAGGCAGCTTTACAACAAAGTAGATATGACTCCATTAAAACGGTATCAGGTGGGGGTGACTGTGGTGGTCTCCAGCAGAAGAGCAAGACTCGAGGCCAGTAGCACCTTAAAACACCCAAGAAAATTTCCAGGGAAGAAGAAGAAGAGGAGGAGGAGGAGGAGATTGGATTTATACCCCGCCCTTCACTTGGAGTCTCAGAGCAGCTTACAAACTCCTTTCCCTTCCCCTTCCTGCAACAGAAACCCTGTGAGGTAGGTGGGGCTGAGAGAGCTCTGAGAGAACTGCCCTTGAGAAAACAGCTCTGACAGAACTATGGCTTGCCCAAGGTCATCCAGCAGCTGCAAATGGGGGAGTTTGTAAGCTGCTCTGAGACTCCGAGTGAAGGAGTCTCTAAATTCAATCTCTTCTTCTATGCCCAGAGAAAAGCAAAAAACCCTCAAGGGTCCCTGGGTAAATCTGGCCTGGTGGAAAATTCCTTCCTGACTTCAGAGTGGTGATTGGCATTACCCTGGGCATATAAGAAAGGGCCACAAGAGCTGAGCACCGGATCCTCCCTTCCTGCTTTCCCCTTCACGATCACCTAAAATCCTCCAAAGAAGAGGTCCCAGCACCTCCCAAGGAAGCCCGTTCCACTGAGACTGTCAGGAAGTTCTTTCTAATGTTTAGCTTAATAAAGCAGGGTTGCCAGCTCTGGGCTGAGAAACACCTGGAGATTTGGGGGGTGGAGCCTGAGGAGGGCGGGGTTTAGGAAGAGGAGGGTATAATGCCATAGAGTCCACCTTCCAAAGCGCCTATTTTCTCCAGGCGAACTGACCTCTGTCACTTGGAGGTCAGTTGTAATAGCAGGAGGTCTCCAGCCACCACCTGGAGGTTGAAGGCAAAAATGAGAGATCACGGGAGGAAGTGGAATTCCAAAAACAACATCCGTGACAAGATCTTCAAATTGTGAAGACCTTGGGTTCTGTTATTAGCGAGTCAACAGGGATTGTTTCCTTCAAGAGTTGATAAGTAGTAATTGATAACTGGGATTGCTACACGCTCAGATAAAGCAGATATTGTGAAACAAATTGTTTTCATTGCACAGTATTTGTTAGTGTGTGAGCGATAATAGAAGAAAATTTTCTACAGAATGGCTACAGTAAACGTTTTTGCAACTTATCTTTATTGACTCTTCGCCATTTTTGTCACTGATGTTGTTTTTGGAATTCTACCACATGGAGGTTGGCCAGCCAACTAACAAAGACCCCCTTGCGTGAGAAGCACTAGGTAGAATTCTCACAGTATAAGATGTCTAAGAGAGCAATCCTAAGCAGGTTTACACAGAATCCTACTTAGGTCTGTTCAATGGGGCTTACTTCCCAGAAAGTGTTCTTAGGATTGCACCGTGTATGACATTGCCTAGTTCTCAACGAGTGATAAATGAGTCTAGACTCCACCACCTTCACACTGCTTAGGGTGGGAAACACTTTAATGCAAATGAATGAACACCGTTCATCTCATGAAGAAGGTTCTCTGACCTACAGAAGCTTATGCCACAACACATTTTGTTAGTCCTTAAGGTGCCACTGGACCCCTGTTTTATTTTGCTGCGACAGACTAGCACAGCCGCAAATCTGGAACTATCCTCCAGTGAAAAAACATCCCCACACATAACCAACAGGCTAGCATTCTTCTCCCTAACACTTAATTTATGGAGCAAATGTGAGCCCCCACCTTTAGAACGTAGCTTAGTCACAAGTCAATCATGTGGGTGGGAAATCGAAATTGACTTCCTTAAACCCTGGTGAAATTGACTTTCCCGACCATCTGTCTTGCAGGGAGTTAAACATCTTTTAAAAAATAAGACCTCAGTTCAAAGCCGAATTTGTTTAACAGGCTGAAACCAAATTCTGAGAAGACAAGTATATTAAAATCTTACATTTTCAAGAATGCAATTTCCTTCTGATATTTATTGTTGGATTGGAACAAATAGCTCTCTCCCTGTTTACTGGCAAACATATAATGACCTTGGGAGCAGAATAATGGGATGTGTAAGTTTGACAGCTCGACAACTGAAATATTGGAACTGAAATATTAAAGATCAACTAAATTATTTACATATAGAACAGCAGAAATAATTGGTAAAATTATCTGGCCTTATGCAGGGAACGTGCTATAAAATGGGATCTGTAGTATATAATTTTTTTTAGTGATTCCTATATGATGGATAGTTTGCAAATGAGGTGTGTTGCCAGTAAAATAACTAATGCATTTCAATGGGATGATTTATGTACCATATAATCCATTATGACAGATGGTCTTCAGTGTAACTATAAATAAAGCAGTAGGTGTTTGCTCTGGGAGCTCACACATTATTGGCGGATGTGGCTTGTTTCGTTGCCTTTTTCTTTTGAAGTTTTTCTTTAAGGTGGAACCGAAGCTACACCATTATCTTTTTGAGCGAGAGTTGATTTCAGTTAATTCCATGATAGCCACTGGAGGAAAGTTGCATTAAGGAGGTTAATCACGAGAGCCTCACGGCTGTCTGTGTTTAGAGAAGGACATTGGAGAACCCTCAGTGTTACCATGGGGATGCCACCTGAAAATGGCATCCCCAGGGCAAATTTCCCCCCCCACTCCAACTGTACCAAGCTTTTGCCATACAGGGTGCTGCCATTCCCTAATGAGTTGCCAACTGCTGCCAGGGACATGAGGATGGGGTTATTCCACCTCGATAAAGCTTGTGAGCTTTGCATAGTTAAGGGTTTCGTAGCTTGCTGAAGAGGTTCCTGTTTGAGGACAGTTTCTCCAAGGACAAAACTAGTAAAGGTTTCCCTTGCTCGAAAGCCAGTCGAGTCCGACTCTAGGGTTGCGGTGCTCATCTCCGTTTCAAAGCCGAAGAGCCAACGCTGTCCGAAGACGTTTCTGTGGTCATGTGGCCGGCATGACTAAACACCAAGGCGCACAGAATGCTGTTACCTTCCCACCGAGGTGGTACCTATTTATCTACTTGCAATGTCTTGCTTTCGAACTGCTAGGTTGGCAGGAGCTGGAACTAGAGACGGGAGCTCACTCCGTCATGCGGCAACTCGGGTCTCGAACTGCTGAACTACCGACCTTCCACAGCCTGCAGTTCAGCGTCTTAACCACTTGAGCCACCGCAGCTCCCCAAGGACAAAACTAGCAAGCCTGTAATAACTGATTGACTTATTTTCTCATAGGTCAAGACGGGTAGCTTCGTTAGTCTGTCTGTACCAGTAGGAAAGAGCAAGAGTCCGGTAGCACCTTAAGGACTAACAAAAAGATGTGGCAGGGTATGAGCTTTTGTGAGTCCCTACTCTGTATCTGAAGAAGTGAGCTATGACTCACGAAAGCACCTACCCTGCCACATATTTTGTTAGTCTTTAAGGTGCTCCTGGACTCTTGTTATTTTCTCATGTCCATGTATGGATGAGCAATCCAGTAGGGGATACAGTGCCATAGAATCACAGAGCTGGAAGGGGCCATACGGGCCTTCTATTCCAACCCCCTGCTCAATGCAAGATCAGCCTAGAGCGTCCCTGACAAGTGTTTGTCCAGCCGCTGCTTAATAGAAAAGTTTACTTGGCAGTGATATGCACGTGTTCCCTGAGATCTGGATAGTATCATGTACAAATATGGGATTGAATGCCTCCCTATAGTCCTGGCTCCATAATTCCAAAGTCCCCTATATCCAAATACATGCTTCCTCTGATCCCCCCCCATTTCACCAGTTCTATGTCCAGTTAGGGGAGGAGCCAAAGTTCTGTGGTAAAGAACATGGTTGGTGTACAGGAGAACACAGTACGCTCTTTAGCATCTCCAGCTGAAAGATCTCAGAAAGCAGATGATGGTTAAGACTTCTCTCTGCCTCCACCACCACTCAGAGTAGATGGTAGGGACCTGGCTGGACCACTTAATTCATTGCAAGGCAGCTTCATATGTTGATGGTTTATGAATCCAAAGCTGTGGCTCTGTGCTTCTCCTTGTCACAAGTGATCCATGAAATCTCACAAAGAGGAAAGTGGTTTCTCCTTAGTTCTGAATTTTACACACTGCTGTTTTATTTTTAGTAGGAAAAAGGGACTCTGTACATTTTATACCTCGATAGATGAGACATCAGCTGTGTTTGAATAGATCTGATACTTGTGATTTAATAGCTCCATGTGTTCAGAATATAGATCGCGGATCTCGTCGGTAGGATGCCATGAGACCCTGAATGCGGGCTCATGAAATTAAAGAATCCAAACTTGTCCTAGTTGAGAAACAATTAAAAGTTCTTTTTTATTTTTTATTATTCTCGGGGTGTGTGTTTTTTTTTTAAACAGAACGCCTTCTGCATTATACGGAGAATGTTTTGGAACAAATCCTTCATTGGAGCTCTTTGCCTGACCCCAGCAGTGCATGTCTAATAATCAAGAAGTTTCCGTCAGCAGACACGGGAAGACTGCACAGTGGTATGTAGGAAAAAAATGTTTGAATAAATGAATAACAAAGAACTTAATGTGTTAAATCTTGGTTGGGATTGGAAGTTTCAAGGGATTGGAAGTTTCAAGGGATTGGAAGTTTCAAGGGATTGGAAGTTTCAAGGGATTGGAAGTTTCAAGGGATTGGAAGTTTCAAGGGATTCTGAACGAAGGCATGCGGCACAAAACCAGGAGGTACTCCAAGTACTGGCAGCCATGTCCCTGCCTTGTAATCTTCTAGACCTGATGAGAAACTCAGTTTGTTTGCCCCCCCCCCTCTGGCTCTGACTATAAGTTTGTTCTGTCTGTGACTTTGTCCACGAGAGTGAAAATGTCCCCAGTCCTGTAGAAGAGGATGCAGAGTTGTGGGAAGCATCAGCATAGACAGCCCCTCCTTTGGAGGTATGGGACAGGCAGGAGCAGACTGGGAAGTGAAAATGGCCCCGGAACAAGTCAAGCTGAGGAGCCCTGTGGCTGCAGGGGCCACTCAGCCCAGCAGTTCCAGGAAGTGACCATTTAGCTCATCCACTGCTTCCTTTTCCAAACTGACAGCAGAGCTGGAGACAGTGAGTGAGCTAACACCAGCTACTATTGCTGATGATCTGAGCCCAGTGGCCCCTGAGGAGGTGGCAGCATTGCTATAGCTTGGCTGTGCTTACCATCTTGCCACCAGTTGCCCTCTAGGTCTGTGGTTTCCCCCTGGAAGTTAAAAGGCCAGTCCACCCCTGGGGACAGGATGGATGTACTTGGGTTCCATCCACTGTTGAGGAGTCTGTGTACCTCAATAGTTGACGGAACCCACGTATATCTGTCCTGTCCCCAGAGGTGGATTGGCCTTTTAACTTCCAGGGGGAAAGACCCTTATGTCTTTGAAGAAGAATGCAAATTACTGTCTCGGCTTCTGGATACCCTACTCAAGTGGTACTCATTCTCAGATCCATGGGGAGCCATGCTTGCAATTCCCATCAACCAGAAGAGCCACATGATTATTGCATACCATGCGTGCCACCCCAAATGCACACAAACAGTAATTTATTTATTTATTTTGTTACGTTTATGAATTGCCTAATCCCCACAAATGTGGGGCTCTAGGCAATGGACAAATTCAAAACTATTAAAACCATAAAACTGTATTCGACACACACACACATATACATATACACAGGGGTCATTTAGTAGAAAAAGAGGTGCAGGAGCTCATTAGCATAACTTATTAGCATAACTTATTTGCCTATGCCACACCCCCTGACGTCACCAGAAGTGTGTCAGAAGGCAACACCCACCGCTCAGGGGCCACTGGACTGTTTTGATTGCTAGCTATGGGGGGGGGACATGCAGATCTGCCCTCACAGAGGAGGGAGAGCTTGTACCTGAAGGCGGGCCGGGGGGGGGGGCTCTGCAACTTACCTGGCTGCTTCTTCCTCCTCGTGGCCCGACTACGGGCTGCTGGGAGCAGGGGGCGGGGCTTGTTGCATGTGCCCACCCCCTGAGCTTCTTACTGCCGGAGCCCCGTTCCTGTGCGCTCCCACAGGAAATGACCCCTGCATGTACACACACACAGTTAAAACCAGTGGCAAATTTGTGTTTTGTAGTTCCCTCCCATTCCTGGTCTGTGAGTGCTTCATGGGCTCAGGGAGGGAATACCTCACAAGGGATAGGAGATTCGGGTAGGGTAGGGTGCTAGCCATGATGTCCTCAGCCAAAAGCCTGGCGGAACATCTCTGCCTTGCAGGCCCTGCAGAATTGCATAAGGTCCCGCAGGGCCCTGATGTTATTTGGCAGAGAGTCCCACCAGGTCGGGGCCAGGGCTGAGAAGGCCCCGCCCTGGTCGAGGACAGCCGGATCTCTCTAGGGCCAGGGACCACCAGTAGGTTATTCTGTAAAGAGCGTAATGGCTCTCCCAGGGGTGTAATAATACAGCCCTTTTAATTTATTTATTTATTTATTTATTTATTTTTACGATTTCTATGCCGCCCTACCCAGTGGCTCAGGGCGGCTAACAACAATGTTTAAAATAGTAAAACAATAAAAACAATTTTACATATACAATAAAAACTGGTGCTTCAAATCAGTACAGATCTATACATTATATAAGATGCTCGGCGGCTCATATTTGCGGCCCACAACTTAACGGTGAAAGCGTCACAGCGCTCCATGGAATCTGGTAGGTGGACGGCACATCGAAGATGGTATAGCGATGGTGGTGGCGGCGGCAGCTCCTACCCGAAGGCCTGGTGGAAGAGCTCCGTCTTGCAGGCCCTGCGGAACTGCACTAGGTCCCGCAGGGCCCGGATCTCCTCCGGGAGCTCATTCCACCAGGAAGGAGCCGCCACCGAAAACGCCCTAGATCTAGTACAGGCCAACCTCGTACTACGGTACCTCTGAGTACCTAGGGTTGCCTTTCCCCCATTGCTGGGAATTTTGCTATAGGGTTCAGCATTCAGCAGTGGCATGCCTAGTTCCACTACTTCTGACTATCTGCCCTCAAACACCAAATCCTTACCTCTGCACAACTTTGATATAATTGTCACAGGCAAGTAGTACTGCATTTTAAAAACAAGAGCTCTATCTTGGGTCCGTGGCGATGATGAAATGTTTCCAGTTTCTAAAGGAGCAGTGTTTGGGAGAGCCACGGGCGGCTCCAGAGCCACTGAGTGAGCATCACTGTTCTGTACCTACAATGAACTGTGGTCATCGGTGTCCGAAGCCTTAAATTCCTCACTTATTTTTGGGGGGGGGGGGGCTGATAGCTAGAAAAACCTTTAAAATACTGGTTGAGGGAACAGAAGATCCAACCTCTCCCCAACACCCACTTCTCCCTTGAAAAGAGATTTGAAATGGATGGCTCTAAGCATAACTCCATTTGCATATGCCACACTCCCTGGTATCACCGGAAGTGTGTCAGAAGGCAACACCCACTGCTCAGGGTCCACTGGACTGTTTTGGATTGCAAGCTATGCGGGGGGGGGGGACATGCAGATCCATGTGCTCCTCGTGGCCTGGGGCTGCTGGAAGCAGGGGGTGGGGCGTGTCGCATGTGCCCGCCCCCTGGGCTCTTTACTGCCGGAGCTCCACTCCTGTGCGCTCCTGCAGGAAATGACCCCTGGGTGTAGTGGTTAGAAGCGCAGACTCTGATCTGGGAGAACCGGGTTTGATTCCCCACTCCTCTACATGCAGCCAGCTGGGTGACCTTGGGTCAGTCACAAGTTCTATCAGAGCTGTTCTCTCAAGGGCAGTTCTCGAGAGAGATCTCTCAGCCCCACCTGTCTGTTGTGGGGAGGGGAAGGGATTGTAAGCCACTCTGAGACTCATTCAGGTAGTGAGGGGCACAGGGTATAAATCCAGCCTCTTCTCTCTCTCCTCTTCTTCATCTCATTGAGTTCAGGTAGAGAGCAAAGCAGTTAAGTTGCTCCCCCTCCATTATAAATGAATGGGATGTAAAAATGCTCACCTTTGACTGTCTGGCTCCGACCGACCTTAATGTATTGCCTATCTTCTAAAAGATCTGGCATGGTATGTGCAGCGCTTTCAAAGGTGGAGCGTGAGTGTCAAGCAATTAATACCTTAACGGCAGGTCTAATGTGGGCAAACATCTGATGTGTTCCTTCTAAAAACATTGGCATTAATTTATGAGGATGAACAAACAGAATTTCAAAGCTATCTGGAACTGACTAGTAATTGCGATTGTGATGAATTCATAGGGGATGTGTCAACAAAACCGTTTCCCTGACAGAATCCTGGCAAAGTTTGTTTCTCTTTCAACACTATAGATGGGCAGACAAGAGTGTGGACACCATGAACTTTGGGGAAGAAGCGGGTGCCACCTCAAAATGGCAGCCACGGGGGTGGGGTCAGTTACAGAATGGATGCCCATGAAGGGGTGAGATCTGCCACTTGCTTTTGGAATAGCCACTGCTGGGTTTCGGTTTCCAAAGGAAAAGGAAGATTTGCTCCCTGTGTGGCCACAGGGAGTGGTTGTCAAGTCCAGAGTGTTGATCTTTCACCAAGCTGAGGATGCCCAGTTTTGCCACACCAGCCCAGAATAAGCTCAGTGCTTTGCTGGTCAGACTGTTGGTTGGAAACCGTCAGAAGCTCATTTACTCCCATCCATTCAAGACCCTCTGGAATTTATTCCAAAGGTTAAAGTAGCAACAGAAGAAGAAGAAGTGGGCAAACAGCTGAGGAGTAGGATGAGGAGGAGGAGGCATTAATTTATGAGGATGAACAAACAGAATTTCAAAGCTATCTGGAACTGACTAGTAATTGCGATTGTGATGAATTCATAGGGGATGTGTCAACAAAACCGTTTCCCTGACAGAATCCTGGCAAAGTTTGTTTCTCTTTCAACACTATAGATGGGCAGACAAGAGTGTGGACACCATGAACTTTGGGGAAGAAGCGGGTGCCACCTCAAAATGGCAGCCACGGGGGTGGGGTCAGTTACAGAATGGATGCCCATGAAGGGGTGAGATCTGCCACTTGCTTTTGGAATAGCCACTGCTGGGTTTCGGTTTCCAAAGGAAAAGGAAGATTTGCTCCCTGTGTGGCCACAGGGAGTGGTTGTCAAGTCCAGAGTGTTGATCTTTCACCAAGCTGAGGATGCCCAGTTTTGCCACACCAGCCCAGAATAAGCTCAGTGCTTTGCTGGTCAGACTGTTGGTTGGAAACCGTCAGAAGCTCATTTACTCCCATCCATTCAAGACCCTCTGGAATTTATTCCAAAGGTTAAAGTAGCAACAGAAGAAGAAGAAGAAGAAGAAGAAGAAGAAGAAGAAGAAGAAGAAGAAGAGAGGAGGAGGAGGAGGAGGA